AGGTCGTCACCAACATCATCGTAAGCGTTCAGGTCTGCTCCACGAGTAGCAACGAGGCTAGTCTTGGTCTTAGCGGCCTTGGTCTTCTTTCCACTCTTGTCAGCGGCCTTTTCTTCCTTGAGCTTCTCGTTACTGGCAGCCGTCATGGCACTGGCAATCTTCTTGATTTCCTGGCTGGGGAGATCCTTGACCAGTTGCTTGGTGAAGTCCTGCAGCCAGAGGGTATATGCTGGCTTCTTGGACTGGGCTGTCAGTAGTGGCACGAGGGCATTGGTCAGGGCCGTGAACTGTGGTTTTGTGCCGGGTTTAAAGAGAGGGATTGAGGCTAGGTCGATAGATTTGGTGGGATCGTTGGCGTCTGATATCACGCTCTTGTTGGGTGCGGTGCGGTTGCGGGTGCGGTTCAGATCGATGTCTCCGAACAGGTCTTCGGCGTGCTTCAGGTCCGCATCTTGTTCGGTTCGGCGTAGCTTCTCACGCTTGGCGGCCAGGTCTTCTTCCGAATCGCTTTCTTCCTCCGACTCTTCCTCTGCTCGTCGTCGTGCAGCGGCGGCCTGGTGCTCGGCTATCCGCTGGGAGCGGCTCTTCTTATTTGCTAACGCTTCGGCCTCGGCCTTTGCTTTAGCAGCAGCGGCCTTCTGGGCCTTCTCGCGCTCAACTTCGCTGTCCTCGGCAGCCTCCCAGTCATCGAGAACCTGTTTATTTCCTGTCAGTCCGCCGATATTACCTTAATACACCGAGATAAGGAATAAACCACATACATCGTCGCTGTCTTCCTCGTCATCAAACTTGCGGCGCGCGACGGCAGCTACTGGTGGTGGTGACGATGGAGGCGTACTCTCTTCATCTTCTAAACACAAAAAAGGAAATATGTCAGCCCCTGTCAGTTTCTCAAGAGTCATCATCCTGTGCCAGTTCCAGTCCATCCCACTTGTCCCAATCTCACCGCTCTTCCGGAGGTTTAACCAAGCAAGGTGTTCGTGCCTCATGTATGATGATGTAGCTGATGTGCTTGCCAACGCATCAACGCGAGGGAACCCTGGTAACTAAACTCTCCCTTCCCACGAACGACGGCCACAGCGTGGAAACAGGGACAAGATGGACACTCTCAGGAACATCCGACGGATCAGAGATGCTTACCCCACTTTGACGGCGGCATGATTGCTAGACTTTTGTGGCTTGTTTCTTCTTGATTCTAGTTGATATCGCTTTCTCTCTTCTATTTCGTGGTGGTCGTTGGTCGCTGGCGGTAAATGCTGCTGCTGGTCGTACCGGTGGTCGACGGAGTCTGGGGTGTTTTGTGGTGGGGGAGTTTGCTGGCGCACTGGCTGGTTGTTCGCTAGATATCGCAAATCGAGGATCTCTCGAACGCTTAACTGAAAGGTAACTACCTGGTCGATGTTAAAACGTCCTCTCTCGCTCCCTGTCTTCCCTGTGCGTTTCGCGTGTGTGCGAAGTTCGTTGTCGTTCTCTTTTTTTTTTTTCTGCTTTCTCTCTTCTGTCGCTTTTTTTTTCTGCCCAACGAAGCGTCATTGGCGGGGGTGATATCACGTGGACGATTAGTCATCCGGGACCTGGAGACTGGAGATAAGAGAAACAACCTAATACCGGAGATTACGGAGTAAAATAAGCGCGAGGTTAGCTCGTAATATTTTTTGGTTCATTTCTCTAATACATATATTTTGTTGGCAGCATGGTTGCTTGCTTGTTTAACTACGTCCCCCAGTTCGTCACTGATGGTTACTGTTGCCGGGCTGGCGTATAGGTAGACAGCTCTCGCGCAGGGCGTTGGTTTCGATTTACTTATCGGCAGCAGCAAAACTGCGCTTAGATGTTGATGGCAGTGCGGAACTTCTCACCGGCATAGACGGCGTTGTCGCCGAGCTCCTCCTCGATTCTGAGAATCTGGTTGAGCTTAGCGAGACGCTCGGAGCGAGCAGGGGCACCGGTCTTGATCTGGCCGGAGCGCAGGCCGACGACGATGTCAGCGATGGTGACGTCCTCGGTCTCGCCGGAGCGGTGGGAGACCATGACACCCCAATCGGCAGCAAAGGAGTCCTTGGCGGCCTGGATGGACTCTGTCAAAGTACCGATCTGGTTGACCTTGAGCAGGAGGGCGTTGCAAGACTTGAGCTCGATGGCCTTCTTGATGCGGAGGGGGTTTGTGACAGTCAGGTCATCACTACTTTCTTGTTAGTCTTCATCCTCTAGTCAACAGGAAAATAGAAAAAAGCACATACCCAACAATCTGGAAGTCAGAGGTCTTGAAGAAGTAGCTCCAGGCCTCCCAGTCGTCCTCGGCGAAGGGATCCTCGATGCTGACAATGGGGTACTTGGCAGCAAGAGCCTTGTAGAGGTCGGCGAGCTGCTCATAAGTGAGCCACTTGCTCTTGTCGGACTCAGGGTTCTTGAAGTCAAGGTCGTACTTCTTCTCGTCGGCCTTGTAGAACTCGCTGGAAGCAACGTCGAGGGCGATCTTGATCTTGCCGGTGTAACCAGCCTGCTCAATGGCCTCGGTGATGAGGTCAAGAGCCTCCTCTGGGGTTTGAATGTCAGGAGCAACACCACCCTCGTCACCAACATTACCAGCAGACTGGCCGTACTTGGTCTTGGCAAGGGACTTAAGCTTGTGGTAGACCTCAGCACCCTGGCGGAGGGCCTCAGAGAAGGATGGGGCGGCACTACCAAGGTAAGCATACTATCTCTAAAAACAGCTAATTTGCTGATGACACATACCTTGGGACGATCATGAACTCCTGGAAAGCGAGACGGCCACCAGCGTGAGAACCACCGTTTAGAACGTTCTGGAAAGGCACTGGAAGGACGTATGGCTTCTTGGTGCCGGCAAGGTCGGAGACGTGAGCGTACAGTGGGACACCCTTCTCAGCGGCACCGGCCTTAGCAATGGCCAAACTGACACCGAGGATGGCGTTGGCACCAAGCTTGGACTTGTTGACAGAGCCATCGAGCTTGTTCAGGAACTCGTCGACCTTGGACTGGTCCTTTACATCGATGTTCTCCTTAGTAAGAGCTGGACCAATGATCGAATTGACGTTCTCGACGGCCTTGGTGACACCTACGCCTTGTTAGCCGTGCCATTGATTGGCATAATGGGAAGAAGAGGGGGGAGGGCGCGTCTCATACCCTTTCCAAGCCACTTGGTCTTGTCTCCGTCACGGAGCTCGCAAGCCTCGTGCTGACCTGCAGGTCCCGTTAGCATATCACGCGTTTCAATGGCCGCAGAAGAGAGAAGTGTACAGCCGGTCATCGGTGATACGAACCGGTGGAAGCTCCAGATGGGACGATGGCGCGGTGGAGGCCAGTCTCGGTGACGACGTCGACCTCAACGGTTGGGTTGCCGCGAGAGTCGTAGACGGAACGAGCGTGGATCTTGGTAATGGCCATGTCTGCGGTATTTGCAGTGGTTCAGTCGGTTGGTCAGTGGTGATTGTAGGTGAAGATGACGGGCTTGTCCAGTGTCCGGGCGGTTTAGTGGTTTATATATCTTGTCCTGCCGGGATGTCGGGGAGAAGTTGCTGGTGGGGGAAGATGGAGGGGCAGGCCTAACTAGTAGTAGTAGTTGGCTCTATGGGATGACTTAATATGCTGACCTGCGTCTCCAATGCGTGTCTCGGCTGGCTGTCTGGGCCCAATTGAGGTATTAAAGAAACAGCAGGAGTTCCTTTCTTCTCCTTTCACCTTTTCGCCTTGCTAGACGGCCTTTTTTTCTTCTCGAATGATCGCCTGGAGGGCTCGTACATAGAGGGATGGGCGGGTTTCAGAGGGGTCACGTGGATATACACCTTACTCTTTTTGGGACAGCGGAGGGGAGCCCGGCTCCTCCCGCTCCTGGCGGCCTTGGTCCGATATATCCCGAGACCACGTGAAAATCAATCACGTAATGTAGTATTCTCTAATAATGCTTAGTAATGAATAGAAATTCGTTATATAATCATATCATGTGACAAATTTTGATGAGTCATCATCGTCATCCCACAACTGTCCGACCGCAGGCAAAAGGGCGCAACGCCAGCGTTTTATCGCCTTTCGCAGTCTTCAAGTTATACTAACTTGAGTACGCGAAGCTGACAGCTTCCTGCAAGGGAGTTAAAAAGACCATGATAAGGCGGAGGCTATCATGCTGCTCTACAATGATGAGGTCGGGAAGGTGAAGACTGGTAAACTGCAGAAAAATATATGGTTATGGTGGTTTTCAAGCAAAGTAGAAAAACCATGGAACCGGCTGGCCATAAATATATGTCTCTCCACGCCCTTCAGACTACGGTTTTATACTCGCTGGTCTACCTAATGGCTTCCAGGACCCAGCCGGGCCTATTCACAGCAGGGTTACGGAGTACAGTTGGTTCTATGCATATCTTTTGAAAAAAAAAAAAAATCCTACCATGGAGACGCAGAATTTTCCATTTCTTCCTAGCTAGGTTGTCACACTAACCACAGCGGATCTTGCATTATGCGCGAAATTGCCACCTCCAGGGATAAACGGAGACCAGAATCTGAGGTGGGCTTCTTTGTTGCATGCAATTTTCACTGACAAACAGATAGATAGCTGTCCCTTTGAACCATATATTCCTCAGCGCTGAGGATGGCCAGATGTGGCGGTGGCGAATAGCCCGTTTTGTCCAGAATGTCCTCTGGATTCTCACGATTGCAACCAATATCACCACCCATTCAAGCTTCTTCTCTTTACCGACTCGTAGCGAATGACAGCGCCGCTAAAAGAAATCAAAGTTCATGAAGAACTTCTGCTGAAAATGCTTAAATATTTACATTCGGAGGCTAAAAACTTAGCTGTAACTTACCTTCAGTCGGGCTTTTTTCCTTTTTTCCTTTTTTTTTTTTTTTTTTTTTTTTTTTTTTTTTTTTTTTTTTTTTTTTTTTTTTTTTCTCACCTCACATTGAGATTGAGAATGCTCCGAGCTGCATCAAAAGAAGTGACTGTGCGTGTTCTGTGAGTTTGATTGACCTTGTGATGTCACCTGTCAGGGTCAGAGATAAGGAAGGCATCATGCAAGTGCAAGCGCAGGCCGCGCATTGTAACACGAGCTGAATCCATCGTAATCTCATGTTGGCTCTGCTCTCTTCTCCTCTCCCGATGAACTGGGCGTGCCGGGATCAAGGTTTGCGCCGGAAGTCGTCTCAAACATTCCTACTCGTCGACATCCAGTGAACGTTGCGTTGTGGCTGTGTCCCCCGGCTGGGACTACCAAAACGGGGACTGGCGTCAAGAGGTGTGTGTTGATATCGACGAGATCCATGCAAACCCATGCAATTTCCACGATCAAGCGCCACGAGACGATGCTCAAACACTGGGCCGTGCGTGCGGGAAAGCCATTGCGGGTCCCACATGGCTAGTTTAATCCAGCGAATAGCCACAGGGTTAATATCAAAAAAATATAAATAATATTTTGATGATCAAAGTGTCGAAGGCCGTATCGTAAAATAGGAAGCTGAGTCGTACATGGTATGAGGCATTTATTGCCAGGGGCTAGTTAGTTAGTCACCTAGCTAGTTAGCTGATAGCTCGCGATATCAAACCTCGTCGGGATCGGGATTGGGGGGTATGGGGGCCGTGGACGGTGTGTTGCATCCACACGCACACATACGCACGCCCACACAGCAGGAGGTGTTGCCGTTGCCGTTGCTCGGAATTCATCCATGTCTGTCTAAGCTCGCTTCCTAACCATAGAGAATGGAGCTCGACTGCTCGTGAATGGGAAATTGGTTTCCTCTTTGCCCGTACTTATCCTCAATTAGGCGGCCCGTACGCCGTTCGCCATCATCATAAGCCTTCCTTTGGCCTAACCGTGAAGCGAGAGGAGGGAGTGTTGGCTTGCTGTCATAACGTACGGAGTAGAATTTTCTTTTCTTGTCCCTTTTCTCATTCGCACAACCAGTTTTGTTTTGTTTCCTGGCTCTCGTCGGCTGCTGGATGTCACGAGCTGTAGGCTCAACTGAGTGTATATAAATACGGCCGGCGTTGACCCTGGAAGTTGAGCGACCGTCTCCTCCATCTTCAATCTTAAGCCTCTTCTCAAATCCTCACCTCAATCACCTCCCAACATTCAAATCGATCAAAAAGTTATCTTGGTCTTATATTTTTAAGCCCCTCTTATCTCAGCATAATGCCTCTCCAAGATGAAACACCTGCTGGTGACGACAAAGAGCCGGCCGATGTAGAAAAGGGAGAGCATGGTCAGGTTGATTCTGACATGAAAACTGGCTCCGAAGGTCCCAGACGCATCACGTTCCAGCAGCCAAAGGGAGACGATGAACGTCCAAACCGTCGTACCTCTGGTGAGCGTGAGCGCCGTCGGTCGCGCTCCAGAAGCCGTCACTCCTTCAGCAGCGCTCGTGGAGGCACTGGAGGCAACCCCCTTACCGGTATCCCAATCGAGTTCCGTACGCTGTCTATTCAAATCAGCGAATCTCGCAATGCCACCACCGAGATTGTCAAGGGAGGCTCCGGCCGTGCAAGCGTCCATACCGACAAGGAGTACTTCGAGAAGTTCGACTTCCATCTTCTTCCTCGAGAGAGGCTTTGCCAGCAGTTTAACGTCTCGTCTGAACAAGGTCTCAGCACCGAGGCCGCTAGTGCTCGTCTTCAGCGAGATGGAAAGAACACAATCCCTCGCCGTCGCCCAAACTACCTTCGCAAGATCCTCGGATATGTCTTTGGTGATTTCTGCTCCGTCTTGTGGGTGGGCGTGATCATCTTTTTCGTCTGCTGGAAGCCCCTTAGCAACCCTCCCTCTCCGGCGAACCTGGGTATGGCCATTTTGGTTCTCATTGTCATCTTCCTTCAAGCTGGTTTCTCGGCCTTCCAGGACTGGTCAACCAGCCGTGTGATGAATTCCATCCTCGACCTTCTTCCCTCCGAAGCCCAGGTACTTCGTGATGGAAACATCATTCGACTTCCGGCTACCGAGCTTGTAGCCGGTGATATTGTTCACATCTCGTCTGGTAACAAGGTGCCGGCAGATATGAGGTTGATTTCCAGCTCTGGTGATGTCCGCTTTGACAGATCGGTACTCACTGGAGAGTCCGACGAAGTAGAAGGTGCCCTTGACGCAACTGAACACAACTTCCTAGAGACACGAAACATTGCATTCATGGGTACTGGTGTTACAAATGGCCGTGCGGTTGGAGTCGTCGTTTTGACTGGCGGTCGCTCGCTCATGGGACGTATTGCCATGGTCACTACCAATGTCAAAGAGAAGCCGACGTTGATCCAAAAGGAAATCAGCCGTTTTGTCCGCATTATCGTCGGTTTAACTTGTGTACTGGCTTCCTTGCTTCTGTTTAGCTGGGTAGGCTGGATCAGAATTAAACATGCCGGATTCATGGATGTCGTGGCCATGTTGAACAACGTTCTAGGATGTGTGGTCGCCTTCATCCCTGAGGGTATGCCCGTTGGAGTCGCTCTCACAATGATGATGATTGCTCATCGCATGAAGTCTGCCAACATCCTGCCTAAAGGCCTTTCAACTGTCGAGACCCTTGGCTGTGTTAACGTCCTCTGCTCTGACAAAACTGGAACACTGACTCAGAACCTGATGACTGTCAAGTCGATTGGTCTTGTCAACCAGGAGTATACCATCGAGGAATTCAATGACGAAGTTAACAATGGCAAGCGTGGCAGCGCTCTGGCGGAGTTCCATCGCGGGTCTATTCTCTGCAACGACGCCTTCTTCGAGCCTGGTACCCTTAGCCAGCCTCTTAACGAGAGAACCATCAACGGCAACGCAACAGATTGTGCCATTCTTCGCCTTGCAGAAGGGGCGTCGGCATCCAAAAGTGTTGTTTCCCAAACCGACAGGGTATTTCAAATCCCATTCAACTCGCAGAGCAAGTGGATGCTCACGATGCATAAACCGCACGGCACGGTTGACCCGTCCAGTTACGAAGTTTTTGTGAAAGGCGCACCCGATGTCCTTCTTCCAATGTGTACCTCGTACTGGTCTGCAAAGGAAAATAGGGTTATGCGACTAAACGATGCAGCAAAACGACAATTGTCTGCTTTCCAGGAAAAGCTATCTCGGAAGGCCGAGAGAGTTATTCTTCTCTGTCAGCGACAATATGCTCCTCAAGCGCCACTTGGCTCCAACTACTTTGGTGATGAGATCAAGACGAACTGTACCAAAGACCTGACGGTTATCGGCTTGTACGGTATTATTGATCCACCGCGTCCAGAAGCAAGGTCAACAATTGCCTCCTGTCGTCGTGCTGGCATCCGATTCTTCATGGTTACAGGAGACTTCGGCTTGACGGCAACTGCAATTGCGCGCGATATTGGTATTTTCTCAGGCACTGCCGACCCAGACCGTGTTTCCGAGTTTGACAGCAAGAATAATTCTCTTAACGGAATGAAGAACAACAACCAACTGGCTTCCTCATTTTCCTCCAAGAGTTTGCTGGTTGAAGGGCCTGAGATTTCCTCTCTCACTCAAAATGACTGGGACAAGGTCTGTCAATATGAGGAGATTGTCTTTGCTCGAACCACCCCTGAACAGAAACTCCGAATTGTCGAGGAGCTCAAGGACCGTGAAAATGTCGTGGCTGTCACCGGAGACGGTGTAAACGATGCTCCTGCTCTCCGAGCGGCAGATGTCGGAATTGCAGTCGTCTCTGGGAGTGACGTTGCCATCGAGGCCGCAGATCTGGTGCTGATGGATAAATTCGATTCTATTATTCAAGCTGTCCGGCTTGGTCGTCTTGTTTTCCAGAATCTTCAGAAGCTCATCAGTTACCTCCTCCCTGCCGGAAGTTGGTCAGAGATATGGCCAGTGCTTATGAACCAGTTCATCGGTGTCCCCCTTCCGCTCAGCTCCTTCTTGATGATTATCATCTGCGTGTTCACGGATTTATTCCTTTCGCTGTCTCTAATAATGGAGAAGGAAGAATTCGACCTCCTTAGCCTCCCACCACGCAATCACAAGAAGGACCACTTGATCAATTTCAAGATATACGCCCAGTCATACCTGTTCATCGGGGTGATGGAAACCATATGTGCCCACGCGATGTTCTTCTTATATATGTATCGCAAGGCTGGCATTCCATTCCATGCTCTCGTGTTTGCATATGAAAAATACACCGATGGATTCTATGGGTATACGAAAGCCGAACTCGTGAACTTCAATAACGTTGGACAGTGTGTCTATTTTGTCACCCTGGTGGTTCTGCAATGGGGAAACATACTGTCCATCCGAAACAAGCGCCTTTCCATTCTGCAGGCAGATCCAATCCGAAAGCAGCGTCGAAACCCTTGGCTTGCAGGTGCGATACTGGTTTCGCTGGCAATCGCAGTTTTCGTCACCCAGACACCTGGTATCAACAAACTTTTCAACACGGCTCCAGTGCCTATTGAGCATTGGCTGATACCACTTCCGCTGGCGGTTGGTATCCTCTGCATGGATGAGTTTAGAAAGTTAATAGTGCGGCTATTCCCCAAGGGGCCTATTGCTAAGATTGCCTGGTAATCATCGACACTGTTATTGCTGACTAGTTGATGGGTGGTAACACGGCTTTGAAAAGCGGGATCGTTGATTTATTGCTCGGGGAGAAGTTGAGACTCGTCCAATCTGTGGCTAGATATAGCATGCACAAATATACATTACTATATACATAGCAGGTTGTAGATATAAAATTCTCCAGCTGCAAATACATTTCATATTGAATATAATAGGAACCAGGAGTTGCTAGTGGTAAATCAAGCGCTTGTGCTAGTAAAAAACAAGAAAATTTTTCATATAAGTAGATACGAAGTAGGTATGTTGGCCAAAATACTCTTGTAAAAAACTGATCCCGATGTCGAGTTGATGGAAGGTAAATTTCCGTTTTTGGACTTTTTGAAGCGGGATGCTCTGCCAAGAATTTTACAAGTCACGGGACCACCTTAATCTCACAACTTGATTATTAATGTTTGCACTGTTTTCAACTAACTAACTACCTAAGCTGAATATTGGATTATATAATCAGTGATGAAGCTGCTGACGCCTTTTTGGAGTTGAAGCAGCAACGAGTGAGCAAGCAAAGAGCCGGCACGCAACAGCAGGAGGATTAGAGCTATCTTACCGTCGCTGCGGGCCTGTATTTTCAGCCGAACTGATACCTGACTAGCCTTGTTCCATTCCTAGCCACATCCCCGACCCGTTCACGGCCTCAACATAACCCTTCCCAGCAGCCGGGAACTGTCAACATGGACGGTTCCGACGACCCAGAGCGGCGGAAAGCCTTGGAGGATTACAAGCAGAGTCTTCTGGAGTCACGAGAATGGGAAGCAAAATTGAAGAATCTCCGACTGGACATAAAGGGGCTGCAGAAGGAATTCGATGTTACGGAAGATAACATCAAAGCTCTCCAAAGTGTTGGCCAGATCATCGGCGAGGTCTTGAAGCAGCTTGACGAAGAGAGATGTACGTTCTAAGATTTGCTTCGGAGCCAAAAGTCCCTGAGATTTATGCTAAAGCCCTGGGCTTCCTGCTAATGAAATCTTAGTTATCGTCAAAGCCTCTTCCGGCCCTAGATATGTCGTTGGTTGCCGGTCTAAGGTTGACAAGGCAAAACTAAAGCAAGGAACCCGAGTAGCGCTTGACATGACGACCCTCACTATCATGCGAATGCTCCCACGCGAGGTCGATCCGCTCGTTTACAACATGTCCTTGGAAGATCCCGGCCAAGTCAGCTTCAGCGGTATCGGTGGTCTGAATGATCAGATCAGAGAATTGAGAGAGGTCATCGAGCTACCGCTCAAGAACCCGGAGCTGTTCATGCGTGTAGGTATAAAGCCACCCAAGGGTGTACTACTGTATGGGCCTCCGGGAACCGGAAAGACACTGCTTGCAAGAGCAGTTGCTAGCTCGTTAGATACCAATTTCTTGAAGGGTAAGCCTTTGTGGCCGCCTATTCCTTCTCACAAGTTACTAATGTTCGAGTGAAACAGTTGTATCATCTGCCATCGTTGATAAGTACATTGGTGAATCTGCGCGTCTTATCCGTGAAATGTTCGGCTATGCCAAAGAACATGAACCCTGTATCATTTTCATGGACGAAATTGATGCTATCGGAGGTCGAAGGTTCTCTGAGGGAACCTCTGCCGATCGAGAAATCCAGCGAACCCTTATGGAACTTCTCAACCAACTGGATGGTTTTGACTACCTAGGTAAAACGAAGATTATCATGGCCACCAATCGGCCGGATACCCTTGACCCGGCTCTCCTACGAGCAGGTCGCTTAGATAGGAAAATCGAGATTCCCTTGCCAAACGAAGTCGGCCGACTAGAGGTTCTCAAAATCCATGCTAGTGGCGTTTCCATGGAAGGCGAGATTGACTTTGAGACGATTGTGAAGATGAGTGATGGCCTTAACGGAGCTGATTTGAGAAACGTGGTAACTGAAGCGTAAGATTCCCCTTCCCACATTATACATGAGACCCTAGACTTTCTAACACTGGATTAGTGGTCTATTCGCCATCAAAGACTACAGAGATGCTATCAACCAAGACGACTTTAACAAGGCTGTTAGGAAGGTAGCGGAGTCAAAGAAGCTCGAAGGAAAGCTGGAGTATCAAAAGCTATAGAAGTAGATATCCATGTTATGACCACCAAAGCGTTTTCATACTTCTTGAACGATTGATATGGCTGTCCCTTGCTATGTAAACCATTTCGTATCCTATTTTGCCTCTATATAGTATATTGCGCCTTACTATGGCATCCGGTCCTTCTTGTCTTCAAAGTAATAGTAAATCGTTGTAGAAGAGATGTTGCAAACGGTGCAAACAAGCCGAGGCATTCAATTATGCCACATCCACCAAAAAGCTGGTCGCATGAACGGATGGAGAATCATGAATAAATCAACAGTTCTTTGGGTTGCTGGATAGGTATATCTCAGTTTATCACCGGGCATACGGATTGTTTAGATGACTACTGGAAGCCCATACCGATTGCGCGCCTACGACGATTACGCCTTAGTCGCGCCTTGAGATCCAATGGCTCTATAAGCCTTCATCAATTCATTTCACCTCTATCTGTATGGCATTTGACAGTAGAGCAGAAGGGCTCACACCTGTATAGACACAACCAATAAACCCCTGAGTGATCTATTGCTGACACTTGCCCTATCGCTAGGTCGAAAAGCTTACTCTGTGCTCTCGTCTTCGAGAAACCTTCGAGAAACATCCGAATGCGTTCCGTGTGACGCTGGCCGAGCATATCTAGGGGTTCAATAAAACAGAAGAAGAAAAAGAAATAAGGAAGACCAGGCGGAGGGTGTGGTTAAATGTCTTTCCAACTCCCCAACCGGGTGCCGGCCTTCAACTCTGCTCAGCGCGAAATAGAGGATGGGTACTGGCGAGCCGCCACAACCAACAGCCAGTTCGCCAAACAGTCCGGCATCCAACTCACAGAGAGGATAGGGAATTTTATAACACCTTCACGAGAGCTACCGATGTATAAAGACAAACCGTATTATAAATCTCGCGGACCATACTCAGGTGGACGGAAACGAAAAAAAGCATTATGGGTTGCTATATGTATTGGATTCTTGGTTGGCCTATGGTGGTTTTTGAGCGGCAGAGCAGGGCACCCACGTATTGTCAGGCCCATAGGGATGAAGGGTGGAGATATGTGGAAATGGATGCAGGAATTTGAGAAGGGTGTAGTTTCAGGAAAAGAGAAGGGCAAGACAATTGATTGGGAAGAAAGGAAACAGAGAGTGAAGGATGCATTCCTCGTCAGCTGGGAAGGATATGAACAGGACGCATGGGGTAAGTGGCAATGCACGTCTATGAAGTTTACGTATTCTTGCTTATCGAACAATGTTCCCTTGACCAATGGCTTACTCTGCATGTAGGAAAGGATATATATGAACCGCTGGCTAGAAAGGGAAAGAATATGGCCGAAGGTGGCATGGGTTGGATAATCGTTGACGCCCTTGATACTTTAATGCTCATGAATCTCACGACACAGGTTCAAAACTCACGAAAATGGATACAAAACTCTCTCCGTTACGAGCAAAACCAGGACGTTAATACCTTTGAAACTACTATCCGAATGCTGGGAGGCCTCCTATCTGCACATTACATCTCTAAAACATACCCAGATCTTGCCCCGCTGGCGGAAGATGATGACGGAGCTCCCGGAGATGACCTATATATTGAGAAAGCCACAGGACTCGCAGAGCGATTGCTGGGCGCGTTTGAATCACCGTCTGGTATTCCATTTGCAAGCTTTAATCTCAATTCGTCCCAGGGCATACGGTCGCACACGGATAATGGGGCGTCTTCAACTGCAGAGGCCGGAAGTTTGCAGCTTGAATTCAAGTATCTGGCTAAATTGACAGGGGAAACCCATTACTGGGAGAAAGTGGAGAAGGTCATGGAAGTCATTGATGGGAATCAGATGCAGGACGGACTACTGCCTATCTTCATCATGGCCGATACCGGTAAATTCATGGGCGAGAACATCCGACTAGGTAGTCGCGGAGATTCGTACTATGGTAAGAAGCTTCATTCATCATGCTTCATGAATATTTGAGCAGAGGACTGACCAATTTCTAGAGTACCTAATCAAGCAATTTTTACAAACATCCGGTGAAGAGCCCATATATGAAAACATGTGGAACCAAGCGCTCGCAGGTATCCGCAAACATCTCATCACCTACACAAAACATGCTTCATTGACCATTGTGGGAGAGCGTCCGAGCGGGCTTACTGAACCCCTTATGCCGAAGATGGACCATTTAGTGTGCTTTTTGCCTGGCACAATAGCCCTTGGGGCCACGGGGGGATTGCCTCTTTCTGAGGCTCGGAAAAACCCCGGATGGAACCGCCAGAAGGAAGACGAAATTATCCTTGCTAAGGAACTGGTAAAGACATGCTGGGCTACTTATCTTGCGACTGAGACCGGGCTGGCCCCCGAAATCGCTTATTTCGAAATAGACAAGCCTCCAAGAATGATGGACGATGTATTTTCAAAGTCCAAGGGTGAATCCGAGGACGAGAAAGGTGTGAAAACGAAAGGAAAGGCCAAAGAAGAAGGTATATACCTTGTTTCTAAACCCCTTGAACCTCTCGACGACAAAAACAGTGCATGGAGAGAAGATGTGATCATCAAACCTTCCGACCGACATAACCTCCAGAGACCGGAAACCATCGAATCTCTCTTCTACCTGTACCGCATAACAGAAGACGAGATATACCGTGAATGGGGCTGGGAAATGTTCAAGAGCTTCATAAAGCACACAGCCGTTATAGAGGATGAGATCCCTAAACAGAACCAAGATGGTTTATCGGAACAGTCTACCTCTGACGATAATTCCCCAGCAGCAAAGAGCTCATACATTCGGGCATTTACATCACTATCGAATGCTGACACGATACCCCCGGGAAGGATAGACAACATGGAAAGCTTTTGGCTTGCAGAGACCCTTAAATACTTCTATCTTCTATTCTCGGACAAGGACTTTATTCCACTTACAGAAACAGTGTTCAATACGGAAGCACATATCTTCCCTCGATTCAAGATGGGGAAGCTGTTCAAGACGGGATGGAAGAGAAAAACTGAATGGAAGGCTACTGACTAAAATAATGAAAATTTCCTCCATCTATTGGCATGGGATATCCACCCTGATTGTGGTTGTATTTATTTCCTATATCTTCTATAGATGTACTCTTAAGCGTTTGTATTTCTCATATATTCACTTATATCCACAAACAAATAGATAATACAACTGGTGTTACGAGCTTTCAAAGGAGCCGTGATCCCAGCTATAAAGGCTCATATATATACTTGGGCTGAACCGGCTTTAAGAACGCTCTCTTTCAGCAGCTTTGGCAACCAGGGTTTTATATCCTTCCAGGCCAGCCTCTAGTTCTCCAACAGTCAAAGCTTCATTCTTGCCATGGGCAACGAAGATTGTACCGGGACCATAAAGATATCGCTTGACGTTGTCACCATAGATTTTCCAATGTGGGACATCGGTTCCATAGTTGACAGTGGTGACGTTGAACCCATCAACATCCGCGTCTATATCGACAACGCCGTAGGCCTCCAAACCAAAGATAACCTCGATGTCTCCCTTCGGGAGCCCATGACCGTTAGAGATAACTACAGTAGCACCCTTTCTATGTTTGGTAGCTGCATTGCGAATAGCACGGAAGATAATATCTTTTGCATCTTCAGGGTCACCAGCTGCGAGACGTACAGCAACATTCGCAACAGCCTCCTCTGCAACAACATTCGCTGCAACGCCGCCAGACATGAAGCCGATGTTCAACGTGGTACGCCCATATTTGTCGCTAGAAGGCAACCCGCCCTGTGATACAGGAATGTCGCCAAGTCGATCAACCTCAGTCAGAATAGGCAACATCTCAGATACGGCGCTGCGCCCTAGCCAGGGGTATCCAGAGTGAGCAGGCTTCCCGTGAACACGGATGGTAAATGAAACCATGCCCTTGTGGCCAGCTACGAGAGCACGTTCGGTAGGTTCACCAAATATGATGGTGTGATAGGTACCCGAGTTAAGACGGGAGTTGGAGAATGTAGACATGCCCCTGCCGCCTATCTCTTCACTGACAACGAATAAGAGGCCAATTGGAATGTCTGGGTGTTTCTCAAGATGGTCCATGGCGGCGATGACCTGGCAAGCTACAGAGGCTTTGTCGTCAACGGTTCCACGACCGGAAATGAGGATGTCATCCCTCTTGAAAGAGGCAGATTCCGGGTGACTCAAAGAGTATGGGATGAATGGAGGGACGGTATCGATGTGGCTTGTTAAAATAATACCTGGCGAAGCACTGTTTCCGGGATAGGCATAGATATTGAAGCGGCGGTTGGAGCGAATTGGTTTGCCGGTAGGATCGTCATAGTCGACGTATTGTTTCTCAACAGTAAAGTTCTTGGAATACAGGTAGTCCATTAGAAAGCCTCCCACAGCTTGTTCATTGTCGGAGATAGATTTGATCTCAACGAGAGCGCGATGCAGGGAAAGCAATTCAGAGCTGGCGATGACTTTATCCATCTCTGATTTCAGCAAATCGTTGCTATTGGGATCGATGCGAGCAGTGCTATCGAAGCTGTCATCACTGCCTCCAATGTCAAGAGGTGTCTGATCAAAAACTGCTGACCTAGCATCGACGAGCGAGCTCGCCAGTAGAGAAACTAGCGCCAAAATATATGTCTTCTGCATCTTTGTTCTGTTGCTTTTCAGCCTTTTTCACTCTGACCCAATTGATGCTATCGAAGACTGCGGAGTTGATGAATATCCGGGGATAGCTTCGTTAAATAGTAGAACTAGTTAGTTTGTTATTCATGGGTGCGGATCTTTTTTTTGAAACACCTCACTAACTTGCTGAGCAGTTAAACAGACGATGGCCAACGAATACGAGCATGGATTGGAATGCTTGTTATCCGCTTAGCTCGGTTCTCCGCATTTCGGTCGGCGTCTTGACCGATCGATTCCAGGCAGCTAGGCGAGTTTCTCAAGATAATATGTCGAGCGTTTCTATCCAAGTTGCAATCCCCGGATTCGAACTAGAATGCGGAGAAGGATAGTTCCACAGAACCAAGAAACACCCAAGATTTCCAAGAATAGTTAAATAAATACTTATAGATTAGATTAAAAAATAGAAAGTAGGTATATATGTAGACATCACCATCTCCCCCGAAACCAAAACCGCATAGGCCAAAAAGACCACATACCAACAATCAGGACATTAAATGAAAACCACCTAGGTGGATGGGGAATAAGATAAGTTTAAATGTAAAAGAAAAGGGATAACAAGAAGGACAAGTCATAAGTCATCATCATCCATACGGAGTATAGGGAGCGGAAATGGGTGTTTTATAGTGAACGGCCGTCTCCTAAAAAGAGCAGGGAATGAGGTAGAGAAGGAGGTGGGAGAAAGAAAAGAATAAGTTTTAGGGGAATAAGAAGAATAATGATAAAAAAAAGGGGAAAGGAGAGAGGAGGTGGGGATTACACGATCCCGTTATATCCTCCATTTACTCTGTCGCGCACAAAACTCAACCAACAACCTCTCCAAGTCTCGCAGCTTATATGGTTTTGTCATGTATCCTTCCATGCCGACCTTAGTAGCTCGTCGTAGCGCTTCGTCAGTAACGTCTGCACTGACAGCGAGCACTGTAGGTCCTGGGGGCGGCACGTTTGCAGGGTCATATTTCACCATTCGTTCGCGGTATGAAGAGACTAGGGAGAGTATCCGTTCTGTGGCCTCGTAGCCATCCATGTCCGGCATCCATAGGTCCATGAGGATTACATCAATAAATTTCGATTCGGTAGAAGGAGCCGGAGAAGGGGAACGCGAAGGAGAAGGCGAGAATTGGCAGGGGGATGGGGATGGTGAGGGTGATTGGGAAGGCGACGTGGACTGGGACTGGGACTGGGGCTGGGGCTGGGGCTGGGCCTGATGCTGATGTTGATTCTGAGACTGGGTTTGGCTCTCGGAGGAGGGATGGGGTTGGGATTGGTCCTGATGTTGGGGAAGAGCCGGGGGCGGAAGCGAGATGGTTTTTGGTGAGGCATTAGGGGTGCTGCCTTCGACAGCAAATTGGGAGGAGTTCCCCTCCAGGACTTCTTTGACAACTCTTACAGCATCACGGCCATCGAATGCCTGGTATACATCTGTATAGCCTAGTCGTTCAAGCATTGTGACTAAGATTTTCCGGTTGATCAGGTTGTCTTCTGCGACCATGAAAGTGAGTGGGTGACGTTCAGCAAGAGTCTGGCGGCCGTTGAGGTAAGGGCTTTGGTGGTCGAATGGAGTGATAGTCGACATTGGGGTTGAGATAATAGGCGTGGATAGAGAGACCGGTAGTGGCGGTCTGTGTACCGGAGATTGAACAACATCGAAGGTACGGGTTTGCGCTTGTGTTTGCGTTTGTAATTGAGGTGTTGTAGGCCGAGAATGAACTGGTATATGCGTCTCTGTTGATGGTACTGCGCAATCTTGTGGATGCTCTGGTTCGCGTGTATGGCCGTCTAGTTGGCTCTCTTTACCACCATTAACTTCGCCGACAGTGTTTATGCATGTATGGGTGCTAGCAGTGGAATTCACTGAGGCACAGGTCCTAGGTGTACTCGGCCTACTAAGAACATCGTTTGGAACAATGGGCAATCGGATCTCAAATTCTGAACCCTGGAGCTCTCCAGAGGTTGAGGAGCGCACACATATTAGATCACCACCAAGCTTTCTTGATAGTCCCTTGGCCACAAGAAGGCCCAGTCCAAGTCCTTCTTTACTGCGGGTAGTTGATCCATCTTCCCTGGCAAAAGCCTTAAATAGATTGGGTAGAAAAGCCTCTGGGATTCCAGTACCGGTATCCGTGACATTGATAATGACATATCGTGACGTATGGTTCAGTTTTGCCGTGATATTGATAGAACCTGATTCTGTGAATTTGAGAGCGTTCAGGAAAATGCAGGAAACGAGTTTGGCAAGATCCTTTTCGTCTACGTATAGTGTTTCAGGGACACAATCGTCGACAGACCAGGAAATCTGCTTTGTTGATGCGGTTCCATTCGAGGAACGGGAACGGATTTCAATTCGTTCTCCAGTGTCGGTAGGTATTGTGATTGTTGAGTCGGGACGGCCGCCAACATGTAAGGACTCATTAATCACAAGACGAAGTAGTTCCCTTATCTTGGTATAATGTAGAACCATAGGCGGGAAGATTGGAACAGGTCGGGTTACTCTGGACAAAGACCGGGTGTGTTTGCGGGGACGTGATGCTTTATCTGATTGCTCTCCTCTATGATTTTCAGGGCTATCGGCATCATTATCTGGAGGAGCTACAGCGTCCATAAAGGCATCATGAATATCTCCCCTAGCAGGTGTTGAATGTACGATCTTATCACTCTCCTCAACGACGCTCCTGACTTCCGCAGTTCTTGAACGTTCACGTCGGGGAGATTTGACTGACCTGGGCTGGCGGGTGGGGGAAGATCCACGGGAGGAATTAGCGCCATATGGTCGTTTGCGGTTGATAGAGACGTCGATTCCTGCACCAAAGATGGGTCGTAGTTCATTTGAAGGATGGGAGGAAAATTGGCGGGAGAGGCAAGGGGTGTCGTCCGTTATGGAGTTTTCGAGCGTGTCTGGGACTTGCATGTTAAGGTCATAGGCATGGACGATGTTGTCCGCAGCTTCTATAGCACGCCGAGCGGAATCTGTTGGTATTGTTGTTAGTTAATCGAAACTATTTCGTGAAAACTAGGTAAAAAGAAGGCAGAGATCATACCTTGAACCATCTCGATATCACCCCTGAGACTTTCGAAGGTCTTGACCATAGCGGCAGTCAAATGCTCGTCTCCATCCGATGCCCTCTGGATAGTGTCTGCGACAGTTCCATGAATCATATCGAGCATCCCGACGACCCCGTGCATGGGTGTCCGTAGCTCATGGGACATACTGCGCGCATATAGCTTGAGAGTCGGCTGGCCTGCGCCTGGTCGGTAGGGAGTAGGATGGCGATTAGAAGACTGAGAGCGACACCTAGATCGCTCCATCTCCCGAGCTCTTTCTCTTTCTCTCTCTATCTGGCGCTCGTTCTCTTGAGAGTAACGGCTCTCGAGCTGGCGAATTGTCGCGCTCTCCTCCATTCGCTGTAGTATTAAGTCTTCCAACGAGTGCAGTATCATCTCAAGATACGCCCAAGAAACATTTCTCTTTTCCAGCCCAACAGTTGTCCACATAAGACCCACGCGAGCGACAGGGACACGGGAGTCGAAGAGCGGGACTGCCAGACAGGCTGCCATAGGAAAGGGGAAATGAGCCATGCCAGACTCTCCGACAAGCGAAACAAGGTTGTCAGCCACGAGAAATGACTTGTGCATATCTCTAGCCATGATGTGGTAAGGCAGGTCCCAAGCCCATGGTTTGTAGTTCCGATGGATAATTTCGTCCGAACCATTGTTATAGTAGACGATCGGTGCGAGGTGGGAGGTCGAGGACGACAGGCCTATAGCATCCTCCTCAATGCTACCATGTGAGGCCAGTTCCTCTACCACAAAACCACACTGAGCGTTGCATATACTAGTCAGTTCCTTCATAAGGTCTCTCCAGAATACATCGTCGCCTGTATCACGCAAGTCTGCTTTCAACGCTACCAGTCGCTCAATGGCATTACTTTGGCCAGTCTCGAATTGCCGATACATGAGGTCGGCGGCAAGCTTCTCCTGGGCACTGACGGTGAACCGTTCGAAGTCAACGGCGCTGTAAGAACTGGAGGAGCTCTCCTTGCCATCGGGGTTGGCGGTGGAGGCCTCTGCGAGGGTCATGATGAGGTGCTGCTAGGACATGGATGGCTCTATCTCTATAAGAGGGTCAGTATTCGTGCCGACACGCTGGATAAAGGAAAGGTGGGAAGACATTTACCACGCGAGCAGCGAGCGTCAGATGGCGCTCGTTTGGTTGCTGGAACGGTGGATGTTGGGTTGTCGATGTGTAGTTAGATTGATAAGAGCCAGTGTAAGATGTCTTGGCTTGCGGGAGGAACTAAAACAAGAGAAGGGCAGCACAAACCCGAGGACGGGAAAAAATATAAAAAAAAAAAGAAGGGCACCCTTGCGGATGATACAAGGTGTGCAAACGAAGTCTACAGATGCAAATGGCGAAAAACGAGGTGTGATGAACGGGACAACAAGCAGCAGCGTGTATTTCCCCCGTACTCTTGGACGAGAACGAAAAGAAGAAAAGAAAGACGCTAGGCGCATCTAGAGCAAGCCACCAGGCTGCGGGATCGCGATGAATCTTGTTACTGGTCATATTCCGCATCAGGAGCCATGTCCCCCTGGTCCAACGGGTACAGGCAGATACCCGACATGCAGTTACTCCGTCCCATAGTGGCAACGCTGGCGACGCGGCAGCCCATTAGACAGCCCATCTCACGCCGGGAAACACGTTTGCTCCCCTTCCAGATGATTAAACTTGGTGCCTGTTGTTTGGATGGAGCGGACTCCGCGATCCTCTTGCTAGTTAGTGTGGAGAACCCCGTCCTCCCCCCCGAGTCAAAGCATCAATTCCAACATGGGTGCTAATCTGTGCTTCTGGTGCTGATCCTGTAGCTGATAGTGTCAAGATGTACTCCGTACGCAGTATATAGGTACATTCACGGGACAGGGATGCGTCGACTTTCCATCTGGAGCAGTTGAACGGCTGGTCGTCAGCGGGCCTAGACAGCTCGGTTGTTCTATAGGTCGCTTTACAATCGGTTTGACTCTCTGTCTTTTTCTCGTTCTCTTTTTGCTTCTGCTTCCGCTAAGTCCGAATTCCAAGCCTATGTTGGTGCTGCGGAGCATTCCTCTGATGTGAGATACAATGTGATGGCGGTAGCTCGGCAGGGGTAGGAAAAAATTGGAATGCAGCGATAATAATATTAGGCTCACAATGCATGTGAGGTGGTTCAAATCCTAGTGCGGATACCGGCGTAGAGGGTTAGATCCTATGCTGGAGCTGGCGTATCTACTCTATTGCCACAAACGACACACATCTTCGAATGCTAGCGGTTTTTAGTGCGAATCGAGTTGAAAACTGGCTTCAGGGTACTAGTTGGCTGGAGCGGGAGTAAGTCGTGACTCTTGAAGTGTTGAAAATAGCTCATCCTGGCTCAACGGGACCTCATTTAAGTCCCGGCGCGCAGTAACAAATCTCTGGATATGAAAATCTCACCAACATAAACAGCTGGATTTCTTCGATACGTACGGAGTATCTATATCGTATTCGTAATCCGGAGAGTGGACAGATTGACGCGTTTGCCGGATGCAGAAGACACCACATACATCTCATGTTGCTCGTAAAAGCTGGAGCAAAGTCCGTTTATTGTGATTCGTCAATATACCTCATTTTAGGTCAGAACGTCTCCCTTGGACTTGTCACTGCGCCTTTGACAAGGCTGAGGTCCTTCTTCCTTCCTGTCCTACAGTCAGTCTCCTGCCCCGTCGGGTGTCATGGGAATCCAGGCTGGAATGAAAGGCACCAATCCCAGCGGAATGATGCCAACGGCAATCCCAATACACAGTGCGTAGTGCATTTAGAGTGATAGGTACTCCATCCGTAGCTGAAATCCATACCTGAATTAGGAATCCACTGGAGTGGGAGATGCAGTTTCTATCGGCCCTATCATTTCAACGCATTCGACATTAAACGACCGGCAGCTGTTTGACTATCAAAAGCCTTCCAAGTAACTGTGAGGCGACGTTTTTGAAAACAACCGAAGCCAACAGGAAATGTCATTGGTAGGCGAGATGTCCGGGTGCAAGCACGGTGAGATTTAGTCGATCACACCGCACCTCTTTATATTAAATCTTTACTAAGGGTAGGAGGCACTGGCTCACTGTTTCTTCTCTTTGCTCATCATACCATGCTTCTACCTCACTATTCGTTCTTGTAGTGTTATACGGCTTTGGGTAAGGCTTAGGATAAGGAGCAATACAAGGAAAGGCGGAAAGAGGAGGAGGAGATATAGTGAGAGCGAGGGAACGAGAGTACGAAAGTACTTTTCTGTACTCCGTATTCTTAGTCATATTGTAGATGTACAAGAATTTATGTTGTTAACCTAATATGTCTTAGCTGTGGTGACCTGAATGAAATGTGTAGGTGTCTGCAACAAAACCGGCATGGCCAGGTACTCAGCTCTCTGCATTAACAGGGTGGCCGAATTAGGTTGTTTTGTGGTCGCCTCACTTCATGTTAAAAGGGCTTGATAGTTAGTATTATAATGACATACAATCCAATATCCGTACAATTTCAGAAAAGGCCTAGTACAGGCTAGTAGCCATTTCTCTCTGCCAGCTTGCATAGAAACCCAGCATGGGATACGTAAACAGCCTTGGAGTGATTGATGGACGTTGGACGGGATGTCGTTGGCAACTTTGACTTTGGACGTCGAGAAAAAGGAAGTCGGGAAAAGGTTATGACATAAGCAATGCTGATGAAATGCAGCCCTGAGCCCTAAGCCCTTATCATTTCAAAAGAGGCTAGCCTGCGGCAGGCGAACCCTCTGCCACCCAAAAGAAGAAGACGCTCAAAAAAAAGCGTTCCAATTGAACATCGTCGACTTCGAAAATATCGCCAACTTCCTCACCCCCGCAGCAACCGTCGACATCACTGCTCGAGATGGCGAACGAACGCTCCGGAATCGCCACTGGCTTGAACAAGGGCCGTGTACGTTATTTCCCCTGCTGAAACTGCGGAAGACTTCAAAAGAGAACGATAAGAAGGGCATGTCTGGGCTAAGACTTTGCGATATTATAGAAAACCACCGCCATCGAGAGACGCGCCCGTATCTCCAGAACCAAGGGATCCCTCTCCCGCCGCACCGCCTTCGTCCGTGAAATTGTCAAGGAGGTTTCTGGACTCGCCCCATATGAGCGCCGTGTCATTGAATTGTTGAGGAACTCCCAGGATAAGCGTGCCAGGAAGCTCGCTAAGAAGAGAGTAAGATGCTCCAGCAAAGTTACCAGATTTTACGGAATCGCCTAAAAAAAAAAAAAAAAACGGAATTGCCGTGAGAAGGAATTTGATATCGGTGGACGACATAGCTAACTCTTTTTTTTTTTACAATAGCTCGGTACTCTCGGTCGTGCCAAGCGGAAGGTCGACGATATGCAGAAGATCATCGCTGAGTCGAGGAGAGCTGGTCACTAAAAAACGAAATCATGTCACATATTTTTCAATTCCGAATAATACCAACCCGCCCTTCTTGAAACACACCAGAAATTTTTCAGACAAAAGCCAACCGCAACTCAGATCGTCATGAAAAACGATAATTCTTGCTATTCATTTAATATACCCTCGCCTTTGTCCTCCTGTGCAAATTATCCTCCTAGACATTCAATGGCTGGGGGGATTTTTAGTTTACAGATGTATTCATTTGCCAGGGACTGCCATGCACTTTACGGACTTTAGCGAGAGGTAGGATGGGATGGGGATATGATGGCAAGGGTTACAGAACAAGTCACCTGGCGTTTTCATAGTTACGGCCGGATAAGATGCAGTAAATGAAAGCATTCTACCAAAACTCTTGCGTGGTCATGACATATGCCCCATGACCGCTTTAATTTGCGAACATTCTATATTCCCCGTATGTGTAAAGCGCTTGCTCTCGACTATCAATATACATGCCCCAAACTCCCGAGAGATATGTGAGGAAACTCCATTAGTAGTCATATGTCACATCATATATCATATCATTTCAACTTGGCTATTTCTTGCCTGGTAACTTTAACCATTTTGGCATACCTCCTTTCTTCTTGGATCCTTCAGAAGAGCTCGGCTGTGCCTTATGAACTTGGGATTTGTCATCCACTTTCTCATCGTCACCTTCAGTTGCAACATCTTTGACCTGTAGTTTCCCAGCTGCTTGCCGTAATTCAAGGCGAAGTACAGACCCGCCAGCACTACGGGCGGAAAGAGCTGCATTTTGATCCCAGACGAAGTTAACCAGCACTCTCCCACTCATTTTAAGCCCATTGATAAGGGTGATATCTTCGCTTGCTGGAACCTGCGCCTGCACACGAGAAGCTCCAGCCGTAAGAGCGGGGAAGTAGAAGAGCGAAAACTGTTGGTCTGCCAGAGGGGCGTCTAGACAGCTTCTTGCAAACGCATAGAGCGACTGTGTTGTATCCTCCTTTGTGAATTTGGAAATTGCTTGGCTTTGATCGGGAAAGCGGATTTTTACCTCGATCTCGTTTATCTTTGCCAATCTCTCCTGTGCCGCGCTCTCCTGAGCCGCAAGCTCAGCATCACCCGCTAGACGGTTGGGGCGGCTTGCCGCATTCAATCGCTTCTGATGCCATTGAGCGTGTTCAATAGTAGGAAGGTAGTCTCTCTCGTTATAGGGGGTCTGGACTGAATGAGGAGTCGTATTAGAGGGAGGTGCAAAGACGGTCACAGACCTAGAAGATATAGTTACTTTCCCAGGAGTTGTAGGCTGGTTCTGAATATCCTGGCTCTGCTGTTCTTGTTCTCTGCCTCCTTGAGTTACATTTTGTTCGCTTGGTATCACTGTATTATCATCCACGTCGCATTGCATAGCGTCTTTATCATCCACATCGGGGATATCGTCTATGGGTACCGGTGCATCTGTTGATGGGGTATCAATCGCAGAAGACGGACCTTCGCTAGATCTAGTTGTATTTTGGTCTCCATCCACAGATTTGAAGTATGTATCAATTTCCACCATGGCGTCCTCTAGAGGTCGGTCGGTTCTGCTAAAACTTAGCCTTACCAAGGCGCTACCACTGTTCAACCCTAGTTGGCTGAGGGTCTTTTGCAGGTCAGTGAAGGAAGATAACTCTTTTCCCATGATGTTAAGCACTGGGGCTTCATAAAATAGCCTCCCAGAGCCTGAATCACCCTCTTGGACCTGTGGAGCACCTCTTGCCGTCAGGTTGAATTTTCTGCTACTTCCTGCCACTCCAGCTTCAAATTTCCGTAGTACCAGCCATAGAGTAGTATTGCTAGGGAATTTATCCATCAGTCGATTATTAGGAACACCCTGTGATTCTGAGTCTGGCAGCTGGAGGGCAATAGATACAACTGTTGGTGATTTAGACAGCTGCACGAGTTCGAGCCTAGCCCCAGAGCTCAAGCCAGAGAGTCGGAAGGACAAGGAAAGGTCAACTGTCTTTTTCTGATGTCTATATCTCAGAACCATCCTATCAGCCAAGATCCACACGCGAGAAGCTCGGTGGTCTTTGAAAATATAAAGCATATCTCACTCACTTTAGGCCATACTGCGCGGGGTTGATATTGAACTTCGAGCAAGCTTCCCCTAAGACATCACTCAGATGTTTTGTAGGTGTTACTTTAATAAGTGCCCTTCGAGCGCTCGAATTGAGAACGATGACATGAGCAGCCATGGTACCGGATATTCTGTCGTTATTGTAAGGGCGGCGTATCTAGATATCCATAACTTAGCTTCGAACGACCAAGCAGTTACTGAAATCACAACTCACTAGTCCTTTAAATAACTAGTTTGCATACGTAGATGAAGGCCATCAAGGCTACTGAGAGGCGAAAACTCTTCTTCTTTTCCCGTTGTGTGTCTGTCTTCTGTCTCTTGGGCTCCAGCCTAGAGCCACCTACAAGCGCAGGCAGCGGCGAATCGTCATCCCGGTGGTCCAAGCTCCTCCGCTCTCCCCTTCGACTTTGTTTGGAGCCAACGCGAAGCTCAGCAGCGAACAAGACGACATACACGACCACAACCACTACCATTGCACGCCAGTTGTTGCGGAAGCGCTCTCGGGTACTTTTTGCCTGCTCGTTTTTTGACGTTTAATGAACTGCTCCATCGTGTCCATTATGGTGAGTCTACATTGCAGAAACACCGTGATGTAAAAACTAACAGTTTCCCCAGAGTTCACCCTTCGATATCAGTATGAGAGGATCCCTACTTTATGATGCAGATAAATGACCTTTTGCCTACATACTAATAGCTATGTACTACCAGATGGCGGTGCCTGCGTGGCTATGGTTGGCAAAGACTGCGTCGCGATAGCCTGTGATCTTCGACTTGGTCTCCAAGCTCTCACAGTCTCCAACGAGTTTCCCAAGATCTTCAACTACGCACCATCTACATACCTAGGCCTCACAGGCCTTGCCACAGACGTCAATACAGTATCCCAGCTGCTCCGCTACAAAGTCAACCTTTACCGTCTTCGCGAGGAGCGGAACATCTCCCCTCAGACACTCGCCAATCTGGTCAGCTCCAGTCTGTATGAGAAACGATTCGGCCCGTTCTTTGTCAGCCCAGTACTGGCCGGAATAAATCACACAACCGGAAAACCTTTTATATGTGGATTTGACAGTATCGGATGCATCGATTTTGCAAAGAATTTCATCGTTAGTGGCACAGCATCTGATCAGCTGTACGGTACCTGTGAATCGCTATGGGAGCCTGATCTTGTATGTTATGACAACTTCCTTATTATCATGAAATCCTGAACCTTTTAGTTACTAACTGTTTCGGAAAGGAGCCCGAAGACCTTTTCGAGACAATTTCACAAGCACTATTGAACGCGGTTGACCGTGACGCCCTTTCAGGCTGGGGTGCATACGTGTACATCATTGAGAAAGACAAGGTTACCAAACGAAAGCTTAAGGGACGACAAGATTAGAGAGAAGATGCTAGTCGTGGCATTCATGCTACAGTAAGACTTATTTTGTTCTACCAAGTAAATGGTGTTGTGGACTTGGTGAAGCAAGACACGTTTTTATTTTAGTCTTTGAATGGTGAAGAACTGGTCCATCAATATAATGTCCGATACATCATATAGATAAGGACCAAGAATGAAATGATCCCATACATGAAGTGACTAAAATCGCCAGCCTGCAACTGGGTTTAAAAATGGAGATTCGTATCATCCGACTGTTGAACAAATCGAAATAACGCCGTCAAGAGCATCTTCCCAGCTCTCCATCAATGAGCCACAGAATAACTCTAGAAAGGCAGAATCCATGAGGCCTTCAATCTCAGCATCAAGCGTCCGAGCACCCTCGAGATCTGCAGTACCTGTCAGACCGCCTGGTCTCATGTGTACGATATCAACGAGATGGCCAAGCATTCCGGAGCTGGAAATCCGTGTCTTCAATCCTTGACATTGGACTCTGACCTCATCTACAACTGCCTCCACGCGATTCTTGAGAGCATTGATCTTGGCTTTGCCATCCCCTGAAGTGGAGGATTTATTCTTGCTTATGAATGAGACAAATAGCAATATGGCCTTTAATGTCTCAAGTAGCAGAATGGCTTCGTGTAGGAAAATCCAGGAGGGAGCAGGGGATGCGGGGTTGGAGTTAGGAGTCAAATCTATTGTCCCATTGGTCTTAGAGTCCGGATTTACCAGGACTTTCAGCCTCTCTTCCAGGTAGGCATCCACTATTGATAGGGTGTTATCGACAGTGGCAGCATCAGATGTTGTTTCCCCTGTGAACACAGCCAGGCATTTTAGTAGACGATGGTGAACCTGTATGTTCATCTTTTCAGCTGATGTGAGTTCGTTTCCTGCTGAATTAATGTCAAAATCAAGGTATGGGGAAAGCTTTAGCTTCGAAGCTTTCGGCGAAACCATAGTCAAGAAGGTAAATAGAGCATCTGAGACAGCTAATGCGTTGATTGCTTGAGTCTATATTTAAAGTTAGTAAAGAGAAAAAATTATTACAGCATGTATATATTGAACTTACCTTTTGGAATGGCCCTACTCTCACGTACTCTTCGAAGGCTGGCTTTCCACGAGGCTCACAGTTCATGAATCCCTCAAAGCTACGCTTGTCAGAAAGAGGGCTTTTATTGAGAACTACCACCCAGAGAGTTAGTTATGTATAGTGTTATTCGGAATAGCGAATGGCTTACCAATCTTGTCATACTGGCTTATAGATGGACCACCGACAATTCGATGGAGGCGTCTTGCTTCCAAAGCCCACAGCTTCCTACATAAGCTATTCTTCAAGTCATTCCGGAGCTCAATGCTCCCTTCCACATTGATGTAGCTGCCATTGTCTAAGCCCGTAGATAGAGAATACGTTGTTGCACTCTCTGCATTTCGGTAAAATAATAATGCCTGCCTGAGCCCTGCCTGTGGATCATAATCCTTTCTGTCGAGGTCTAATGATGGGGGCGCGCTTTGGGGATGAATGGTTGCAAGTCGAGTAAACAAGTTATGGGCGACTGTCTCGTACTGTATTTGCTTGACCGATAGCTTGGAAAATTTCTTTAAAGCAAGTGATCCAGCACCAAGAAGCAGGTATATTCGCACAAGCAATAAAAGAGCTTCATAGTTGTGTGGTGATTTGAGCAGGAGATGTTCAAGTATCCCGGCCGCTTGGACTAGTACAGAGTTGGTGGTAGACCCAGCTATAGCATCATGCAGGCGTATCAAAGCCATTGCAGCTAGCAGGCAGAGATCATCTGTCGGCTCTGCTTCGATAGTTGAAGGTGTATCACCAGCGTCGGCTCTCCCAGCGTTTTTGAAGTCACGTAAGCAGCGGCAAACAAAACTTTCAGTCTTGATAATGGCATCTTTAGAATTCTCGAATTGTAACTGGAAAGAATACTCCAGCTTGTACGCATTGATTTGAGGAATTGCACTAGACTTCACAGGAAATTTAGCGAAAATTATTTATCTAAAGTGGAAAAATTCGGGTATCTTTACCTTTTTAGTATCCTCTACAATTTTAAACACTTCGTCTTCAAACTTTGAATAGAGGCGTGTATCTAAACCAGGGAGATATCTTTGTAGGTCATTGAAACAGTATATCTTCCGTTGGTTACGCCTAAAATATTCAATACAACCACGGAGCACTTCCTCGGGGTCAGATTTATTTACTTCAATTCCCTGAAGTTTCAATTCGAGATTGGCTAGCTGGGCATTCCTTGAAGCCGGGCGTTTCTCTAGGTAATTTGAGACGACTTCTGCCGTGTCTTGGAAGGCACTACAATTCATTAACAGATATCAATGAATAAAAGGGGTAGAGTCCCACTCACTCTTGCTTCTCTGCCTTCCTCGTGGCAAGTAGGAGAAGATTCCATACTTTCCAATCATCCCTCTCCTCGTATTTGGCATCTGGCTTCGACTCTACCGTCACGCTGTCGTCAAGCGTCAGCAATTCTTTCGTAAACTTTAAGGCTTGATCCCATAAGCCGCTCTTTTCAATAACTGATAGCTTGCAAGTGAAAAACAGCCATTCATTCTGGGCAATGCGAGAACCGACTCCCAGATGTTCGCTGTTAAGTATCTCAATAAGTTCCTTGTGATGAGATTGGCTTTCATATATCTTAATTAACAGGTAAAGCTCCTCCGCAGTCTGAATTGCTCGCGGAATGCTCAACAACTCTTTCTGTAGTGAACAAACCATGCTTTGTGAGCCATGGAGGTCAATTCACAGTTTAAGGGCCGAGGAATCACATACCGGGTCCGTCGGTACGCTCCCTGCGGCTTTGGATATCATTCGATATGCAAGAGTGCCAAATAACTTTCGGTCATTGTCTGAACTTGCTGTATCGCGTTCAATCAAGTAACACATGAAAATGGCCCAAAAGTAGTAATTTCTAGCTTTGGGGAAATTGTTTTGTAGGCTCATGGCCGCCTTGATGGGAATTGAGTCAGCCTTTGAGTATTATCTTCTATTACGAAAATGCAAGGGCTTATATATAGGGTCTCCGCTTGAGTTGGCGCACCTTTTGAGCTGTTTTCCAATCTCCGGCATCTGACGCAACCCTGAACCACCTCAATTGGATCTCCAGGTCCTGAGGTTTGGCTTTAGCAGCATTCTGCCACAAGGCTCTGGCCGTTTCCTCATGACCTCCTATCTCGTTCAATGTGTTATGTAGTATATTCAGGGCCTCGAGGTCCGAGACAGGTGGGGAGGCGCTACACAGCTGCAGAGTTTCCGCAACCCCACGCTGGCGATGCGCCTCGTCGGCATGACTGAAGAGAATATTTGCTTTCCAGGCCTATGAAATGATCGACAGTTAGCAATCGGTTCGAATTTTTATAAGAGAGCACTTGTTGGCGAGATAGGCAGGGCTATGGCGGGGAGTGGTGAGGCTTTACCTACCTTCAAAAAGGACGAGTCCTCGCCTTTTTTCAGCCGCTTTTCACACAGCTGCAATGCCTGTTTCAGGTTCTGTCCGTTTATAGCATCCTGTATCTGCTTGTTCCTTCGCTCGATTACCGCGTTGGAGGCCATGGTGAAGAACGTTGGAGACACTGGGTAGCAAAATAATTTCGCATGGCTCGCGCCTAAGCATTGTTTAAATTTGGGTGGACTCGGTGGAGCTAACTAACTAATGGACCACCTAGTTACTATGGAGTGCATATTTATAGATGCCCGTCAAGGCTCTAACTACAAAGTAGCCAGGATAAACGCCAAAGGTACTTATAGCACCGTTGAAATGTTTATTTTGGGTCCTTGAGTGCTCAAAGGGCTCCATCCGCCGGTGAAATTCTGACGACACCATCGATGACGATAATTCGATTAATAGTGTCTCTACCGACTCCTGGCCAATTAGTTAAACTTCAGACTGGCTTTGAAAATCTATAGACAAGCACCGTAATATGCGGTTTAAAGTCCAGCTGCGCCTTCATAAATAACTTTGCATGCCCCATGCTCGAACACAATTCCTCAAGTACAAGTAAACACTTCTGATATCGTACAAAGGATAGCCACGTTTCATCCCCGGATAGAGTATACTTGGGCCGTTTAATGGTTGTATATCAAAACAAAAGAGTTTCTGCTAACAAAGAGAGGCTGCTTTGGTAAGTCCAGCTCCCTAGCTAGTGGTTCCTTTTGTTTTCTTCTGGTTTAACTGTTCGAAATTAGTAGAATGAACAAGCGTAGTTTACCAGTAAATCTGTCATTCCTGGCTGGGCTAAGTCATAGATGTACTGGAACGGAAAGCAACAGGCCGAGATTAGGTGAAATACCAGCCATAAAGCAGACAATATGGGAGGTTATAGGGCTCACCCAGGCTTTCTTGCAGTCACGATATGCTCTGCAAATTACTAGATTAGCTAGAATATCCGGGATATAACTGAATGTGCTAAGCATGACTTACTGGAAATAATCTGTGCACATATCTCTGTCTCCATTGTTTCGCCGCATACATTTGATACTTCGGTCTGCAAAGTCCTGACACGGGTCCATGTATTCACTGGCCGATTTACTATGCCCCAAGGTTAAATCAGCTCACTGGTTCATCCCAAGCAGACAGAGACTTCACTGCAACCCTTGCTACGCATATCGGAGTCCAGATACTGCTACAGCATTAAGCAGGTGATTCGGCCTTTATACAGGGTATCTCACTCAAGCAGTCAGCAAGAAAGGGATATACTGAAAGTACATACTTTCTGAACCTGGGCTCGCTTTTGTCAAACATTTTCTGCGAATCAGCCTGTTTGTCTGTGGAGCTCATGATGTGTGAAATGGCTGATTTCAATAGCAAGATATTCTCCTATATGACCCTATGTGTATCTCACTGGGGTGGCTGGTGATGGATGATGCTGCTTCAAATGGACGAAGATAAAAAATGAAGTCGAGATGAGAAAAAAAGGTCTTGGCATTCAAGTCACTGAAATCCGGGATAAGCACCTTCGCGACAGGCTTGGATAACCATTTCGACTCATTGAATCGGATACATTGATTACTGTAAGTATCTGCTACTAAGGACATATTAATTCCAATATCTAGCTAGCAAAAATTGCATGGTCGCTGGGGTCCCAGGCTGTTCGGTGTCCAGCCCAAAAAAAATTACCCAATCAGGAGATAAGGCCGGCTTCACCTGCCGCCGAAATAGTACATTTTTCTCTTTCGAACCATTTTGTCGGTCCTTCCTGTACCTTTTTTTTCTAAATCTCGACACCATTTAAGTTCTAGCCGCTAAATGCCGAGTGTAAAGCTTAAATCATGTTAAGTAAATGTATATGCAGAAATACGGAGTCAACAGATATCACTCGTCAGCAAAAACGAGGGTAAGAGGGGCTGTCACGGACTGCCATAGAACATCAACCATGACAGTGCGGTGTGATGGCTGCATGGGCCAGAGCGAAATTGCTAGCGTTCTGCGACATTTGGTTCTTGACACTCGAGTACGACTGGCAGACTGCCATCCAACTCGAACTATTAGTTAGCGCCTAAGAGTGCAAAAGCAAAGTGCAAAGTTAGTCAGATTACTTGAAAGGGGTTCTAGATGGATGCATTGGTCCCCTTTGTTTAACATCTAAGGCTGCGGTGTGTCACACAGCCAAATCACTTGGTTGGATAATCGCATCCCAAGTGGTCGCCGAGTCTAATAAAAACCCTTGTCGGCCGCCTATTAATATTCGAAAAGTGCTGAAAGGCATGGATTTTGTTCTCCCAAGAACCTGTTAAGGTGGTGCGGCAAATATATAGATGTAGGACATTCCAGAAAGCCCTTGATCCGACAACTATTCAATGATAAAAAAATAGCTCGGGCAAATGGGCGTACGCTGGGTAGCAACGAGTTGTAATGATACTTGCGCGCAAGGAGGGGTCCTGATCAAAACAGCTGGCTTCTTGTATGATAGCAATGTCATGGCGCTGGCAGGCTATGTATATTTTCTTGGCTGGGTAAACTGTGGGTATCTGGTCTATGAAATAACTAGGTCGAGTGTTTCTTAGCTGGCATGACCCTGGGTCATATGACACGTTGGTGACAACAACGGCGTGCTCTAGCGAAGTATTATTATACCCGCCCGGTACATACACCAGTTAGACACCAACGGCACGAAATCCGACCATGTTGGTGTCTCAACAAGGATTCCCATGAATCTATGGACCCGAATATCGGCCTCTTTGGCGAGAAGCGGAGAAAAGAAGAAAAGAAAAGAAGCATGAAGCTAGCGATCTCGTTTTGTCGCGGAATGGCTAGACTGATAGAAAGTTCAGCCCGTGTGGTTAAATAAAGCAGCCATATTCCCAAGAATGTACTCCGTACATCCCCGACAACGGAAACGACCGACTGATTTTCCTAATCAAGTCAAAAAGTCCATACCTCTGCATCTGCAGGACAACAATCAAGCCAACTCCACTCGGATGAAGAAACACCGTAACGGCGAGAGCAGCTAGGCGTTGTGTCTCAACAGCTCCCCTTTCTGCAGGATGGATACGGCCAATAGCTAGCTGGTGGCTATTGTTCCAATAACCATATGCTCCACACCAAAAAATAAAATTGTGGTAGCTATAGTTGGAAACTTCAACGGATACCACGCTAATAGCCGCCATTCTATGTGGCTCCGAGCTCCCTTCTGACACGTCGCATTCTTTGTCGCTCCATACTGGGCGAGGAAAACGTGTAGGCTAGTTGACCTGCAGAACCAGTGAACCATCGGCTTCACTATTACCAATGCAGTAATGTAGGCTTGGACCCAAAAGGTGTGATAAGGAGTGATTCCATGCGTTTCAAGAGCGCTCGCAAAAGGAAAGTACCTTTAATCACGAGGTCAGCTAGAGGGTTCTGGTTTCAAGCCTGAGCACTGCTTCAGCCCGTATTTTGCTTGTGAAGGAACCCTGCCCATGTCTGGTGATCGCAGTCCAGACTATTTGACAGTATGACGGCACCCTTAGATTCTAGGAATGTAGAAATGTCGGACCCACGATCCCCGCAACAAAACGGGTCTAGTAGTCGGCGGATGAGAGTAGAAATTATTGTACACATCAATGTATTATCAAATTTGCAGCTGTAATGAAGGAAATGGCCTCAAATCTGGGCGCCATTTTGGTATCATGTGGGGAAAGACAATCGGGTATCAAAATTCATATACTATTCTCCACATAGAAACAGCGAATGCGCCATGAGAGAATAGAGGGATTGGTATGCGTGTGCTAGGCCAAGGTTGTGCTCATGCGCTCCACCCTCTGTCTTTCATTATGGTGGTAGACCAGCCAGTCCCGGTTGCTCCGTGGGAGAGATGCATAAGCCGCTCTTGTCGAGAACACGTCAACAGAGCAGGGAAATACCTTAGGACTAGGGTACTGATCAACCGGATTGTCTAGAACCAGAGAGTAGGAGCTACCGGCTGGCCGGCAGCTGAATAAGTAATCGTGGTATCAACTCTTCAATTTTGGGGTATAAATATCGCCTTCTGTCCCACGAAATATCTAGATTGCTTTCTGCTTCAAGGGCAAGAAATCAGTTGATTCATTCCACCGTTTGCAGAACTATTGTTCATTTCATGCTTCCATCTCCCACAACCTAGGCTGCTATTGAGCGTTTCACTTTGTGTCGTGTCTTTCTCCCTGGATCCGTTCCCTTGTTGCCGTCCAATTCTTGCTGTGAATACCACCGTTATTATATAGGGTGAGTGGTTTCATCCAAGAGGCCACAGTAGTGGCGATAAATGTGTAAAGACCGTCTTTTCGAGATGGCATATAATCCTTTCCCAATGAGAATGTTCATCCCATGTGTTATCCCCGCTGTCGGATTGAGCCACTGCTGTACAACTTAGAAAAAAACAAAAAAACAAACGAGAGATGCAGATGTTCTCCCAGGCCTGGAATGAGGGGACATACTCACAATAGTAGTTATAATGGCAGTTCCAGATACCATTATTCCCCCCGGCCTCCCCGATACCTCCCTTTGGTCTCCCCCTCAATTCCCAGGAAAACGTGGTGGCAAGGTGACTCCGCTCATCAGCAATAGTGATGCAACAGAACAGCGTGGAAAAGTTCAGTTTGATCCAAGAACGCATCTTCAATTTAACCCTCCTTCAAAGGTTCACTCTATGAAGGAATTAGGTTATGATGATAATGCTGGGATATCTCCAATTGGGGTATCTGAACCATTCCCGCTATTCTCAGCTGAGGCTATTCACTGTATGAGGTCAGAAGTGTTGAGCAAAGAGGTATGGAGTGAGTATCAGTTTTCAAGTGATCTGGCGATGTGTCAGCTTCGAGGATTTGCCCCAAAGTAAGCTATCAACACCCATACTCTTTATAACCCCAGACTACTGCTAATGCTCCACAGATATGCGCCATTCGTGTATGATGCATGGAAAAGCCCTGAGACGCTAGCTATTGTGTCAAAAATTGCGGGGATAGACCTGGTTACTGCCATGGACTGGGAGATTGGCCACGTCAATATTTCCGTCCATACAGAGGAAGAGAAGAATAATGCTCTGGCGGAGGCTGTGAATGGGGCGGCAGGCACATATGATGATGATGTTGCCCCCATTGTTGACTGGCATACAGACAGTTATCCTTTCGTTTGCGTGACTATGTTGAGTGACTGCACCGACATGATAGGTGGAGAGACAGCACTTCGCAGAGGTGATGGTAGCGTTGTGAAAGTGAGGGGCCCACAAATGGTATGCCAGAACGCCTGATATATATGGGCAAGCACGGTGCTAACAAGTCCATGTTTTAGGGATGTGCCGTGGTACTTCAAGGGAGGTACATTGAGCATCGAGCTCTACGAGCACTCGGCACGACTGAGAGGATCACAATGGTCACTTCATTCCGGCCTCGCTGCCCAAAACTTAAAGACGACACTGTGTTGACAACCGTCCGACCTATCTCCGACCTGTCTGAACTGTACTTTCAGTTCAGTGAGTATCGGTTGGAGATGTTGGAGGAGAGAATTCGAAGCCAGCTAAAGGAAGCTCGTGATGCAAGATATGCCGGCAGGCCCTTCAATACACAGAAGCTGAAAGCGTTCCTCGCAGTCCAGATTGAGTTCCTAACTCATATGAACAACGAGATTGTTGAAAACGATAAGGTGCAAAAGGGTGTCACCGATGACAGCCACCTGCGATCAGCAGATCTGAAGGAGCGCTCAAGAAAACGGGCTCTTGCTACGGCTGCATAGAGGCCAAACCGATGGTTACTTTAGGGCTTGTTTGGTGCATAGGACTTTGAACGTTCTATTCTGTTGTTCGGGAAACGGTTAACTTGATATACTCCTCTCACTAAGTTGCTTTGGGTTTCTTTCATCGGTTCTCCTGTTTCCCGTGGTCAATTTTGGGGTCTGACGCGTGGGTAATGATGATGTTTAGTAGTCTGTATTTTGTTGAGGATGCGTGGACGATAATGAGTGATAGTCATCTCATTCTTTAATGCCAGGGAGTTGCTGCTTTGGGATTCCGGAATATTGCTGCTTCTGGGCTCTTATTGTAATTTCTGCGAGGGAATATTGATGGCCAGGCGAAGCGGATGACGGGTCTATATTCTCACAAGCGTTTGAGGTAATCGGCTGAGGTAGGAAGTAGAAAAGAGCACTGAGAATGAATTCAATGACTGGTAAATCGTATTAGTATTAGTCTGACCATCTGTTGGGTATATCTGTATTGTCCTCCCGCGGGGTATTCCTGGGGAGAACGCGGTCTTCATCGACTGTAAAACATGGCTAGGCGGACCGCGAAACTGACAAGAGACAAGAACCATCCGGTCCAGTGGTAGCTTTTGGCCGATATATCCTCCTGTCAAGCGTCAGTATGCCTTTTGTCCGTCGGACTGACTGAGTAGGCACGCCGTTTAAAACCTGCCCATCCACTAACGCTTTATCTCACAGCGGTCCCACGGCCGGGAGACACAACTGGTGAGACCACGGTGAGGGAATCCTCTCTCACTCTCACACACACATACACACACACACTCTCTCTCTCCCCCTGACTCTCTATCTGTCACCGTCGTTCGGTCACCTCGTCGTCGTCTGCTCTGACGTTGAACTCGCTTCCGCTTGCTCGCGCTGCCGTCACTTTATGCCCGCACATCTTCACGTGACTAGCTTCACAGGCTAAACCCTCTTGGGAAGGCGAGGTCTCTCACTTCCAACCGCCGCTTTTAACTCGATAGCTTGAACTTCCATAAAACCAAAAACGCGCCTGTCCGACTTTCCGCCTCACGCGATTGTCCCTACCACGAGGCTCACCTTCGTCTGCCTGACTTTGTCCTCCTGTTGACGAGCTTTTCGCTGCCTCTGCTACGGGTTACCTGCTGCTTATCACAGGGCCTGCCACAGACTGCTTTTGTTGCGGGCGAAGCCAACCGCCAGGCAGACTTTGTTCCGTCGACCCGCCCAGCTTTCGAAGCTCAGCTGGAAATCAGGGGCCATGCCTGCAAACAATGCAAAGAGACGACGTTCAGATGATGTGGACTTTAGCAGTAACCATCCCACTGCGTCTGTTACTCCGTCTCTCCCGGCAATCAGTGAGAAGAGGGATGCAGACCCTTCAGGGGTGAGTTGGTGGCTGACCGGAGCAGCCCCACCTATTCGATGTCTGTTTAATGCTGACGGTTCTACAGCTGCTAGAGACTCTCCAACGTCATATAGACGACCTACGAAGCCATATTTACTGCGGGGTGTGTATTAAGCCACTCTATGAGCCGTATACCTTGCCCTGTGGACACACATTTTGCTATAGTGTACGTCTTTAATTTGTCTTATTGGATATATGGACCTCTGTGCGAGACTGGCTACTAATTCTTTCACAGTGCCTAGTGCAATGGTTTAAAAGCCAGGGCCACTCAAAAACATGTCCAGACTGCCGGGCACCAGTCAAAGCGACACCTGCTCCAGCGTATCTTGTATGTTCCAACGATATAGCCCCAGCATATAAGGCCAATTCTGATGTATTGCTCACATTTAGGTCCGCAACATCGTCCATATGTTTATTGGTCGGTCTGAATTGACAGATGCGAATGAAACTACACATGAGCATTTGGCCAACCAAGTAGCAGAGACTGAGAAGGTCGAAAGGGACAAGAAGAATACTGACCCTAGGACTGGTGGTCTGTTCCAGGGATGCTTCAACAAAACTTCTATTCCACTTTATGACAACGCCGAAGGTGTCTCGCGGTGCCCAGGATGTTTTTGGGAATTGGAAGATGGCGAATGTACGCACTGCGGCTATACAGTGAGCGACTCGGATCAGGATCTTCAGGATCTTCAGGATCTTGATGACTTCGAGGCTATGGAACAACTCCGGCTAATGGGAGATGCCTTTACGGAAGACGAGGATGAGTCTGATTTTATTGGGCATCATCATAATCCCGGGTTCGAATATAGCTTCCTTCCTCATGACGGTGGTCATATAATTGATGTAACTGACATGGATGCCGACTCGGAGGATGTATACACGGATGAAGATGACGACGTTACAGATGTTGGTGACGCTGAGTCGAATTTGTCAGAAGACGAGTCTCTAAGGTCAGAGTCGGATTCCTCAGGGAGGTCAAATTCAACAGCGCGTCGTGCTTCCAGTGATCATGGTAGTCAGACGATTGAACCCGAGTCAACTCCATCTGTTCAGGAGATATCATCCAATGCCCAATACGAGTCAGAGTCAGAAGAGGAACCAATCAGACGGCCAGTACGCAGAAGAGACTCTCGTCCACGTCAATCTCACCAACATGTATCTACCGATCAAACGGCCAGGATGACATTGCCCATGATTCTTCTTGCTAGCATGAGGGGGACTGACCCCGAAAATGCTGTCGTTATCGACGATTCACCCCCTTCACGCCGAACTTCAAGGCGTCGTCGTCGCCACTAGTATCATCATCTTATAACTTGCGCTCATCCATTTTGTTCACCGAAGGCCGTACTCCCACCTATATACCAATACCGACATAGCAATGGCTCGACAACTCTCATTGGAGTCTGATGTTTTTGGCCACCAACAGAATTCTGGTCTATACCCACTCTTGCCTAATAATTTCTTTTCTTGGATTCTCCTTATGGATTTTTCGATTTCCCTTTTTTGCATTTCTTTTGCATTTCATCATTGCCTTTTGATACAAGGCTCTGCTATGCTCTTTAAAAAAAACTTAGCATGGCGTTTGAGCATGGAATCCTCGGTTTATTCTTTCCACATTTTTCGTTGATTTCTTTGGTTGTTGGTTTTTCTAGAGGGTATGGATTGTAAAGTAGTCTCTTTGCTATTACCCGGTATTAATGAGAAATCTCTTGAGTGCCATTTTCCGTCACTTTTCTATTTGTTTTGGTTGCGCAGCCTGAGAGCATGTGTCTAAAGGATAAACGCAATCGTATTGGTATATGCAACCATCTACTAAACTCTAGTCCTGACCGATCATTTAATTTTATACCGTGATGTTAGATACCTTTTCAACTGGCAAAAGGCACTTCAAATACGACAGCGCCATTCCTTCCCCCTACCTCACCACATCCAATATTCTTCGAATCATTGGCATCAAATACCTTCCAACGTCCAAGACGATGTTCCTTGCCTAGTGCGGCTACTATACACAGGCCCTTCACGTTAGTCTCATGCGACTTTGCCGTGGACCCCTTTTTCTTCTTCGATGTAGATGTAGAAAGGGGACGACCAGGTTTCGCAGAATCAGTGCCTCGGCGTTCGTAAACACATATTCCATTCACGATACCCCGAAGTGGAGGTGCGGTATGAGATTGGTCGTCTTCATTGGTGTCCATTGGCGTAACATCTGAAAGCGCATTAGACGTGCCGTTGGATAGAGACAGTTCCTTTGGCGCATCCTTTCCGCCAACACAACCTAGAGGGTGAAGACGACGCTTATCTTCAGAGACTCCCCAGGCACGAACCCACCCGTCCCAGCTACCGCTTAGCACGATGTCTGTGCCCGGTACTGTGGCTAATGCTGTTATCCAGCGTGGGCTTTGGCGAACATTCGCCGTTTTTGCAGCCTGCACGTCAACGTCTATTTCGGACGAGAGTTTTTCAGGAGGGGGGAGGGGGTCTAGGCCATGGGCTTCATAAATTGTGTGAAGGGGTTTTTTCTTGTAGATAGACCATAGAGATATGGCGCCGGAGTCTGAACCAGTGACGAAATGGGCTGGTGGCAAGGCGGCTACGCAGTCCGTTGAATTTATGGAGTATTGGGAGAGTTTAGACATGCCTCCGGCTCGAAATACCAGCTGTGTTTCATCAATGACTTTCCAAAGCCTTGCGGTACGGTCTCTAGAACCAACGCTGACACATTGGTCTGTTATCATAGAAGCCACCCCTGAAACATGATCTTGGTGGCCGAAAAGCGTTTCTACGTAGGCGTGGGCGTCAGGGCTCAAGGACCAGGTTTTGATGGTTCGGTCATACGAGGCAGAAAACAGCTGTTCACCAGAACTTGACGAGGATATCCGTTGGGTAAATGCCAAACTGCTGACAGAGTCGCGATGTTGTGTGAATGTTTTCAATGGAGTGAGGGTATTGGCATCCCAGATAATTAACCGATTATCGGCACCACCAGTAGCAACGAATTGACCAGATGGTGAAACCGCAACAGTCAGAATCTCGCTAACGTGTCCTTGCCTTTCCCTGCCATCTCTAGATGGCCGTAATCCTTTCGCCCATTTTAACTTCTTAGGCTTTTTCCGCAATGGTCGGCTTAGTTGGGTATTCCCGTTCTGCGTAGAGGATGTTGGAGGAGGCGTGGACAGTTCCCATTTTATCAGAGTCATGTCCTTTGATGTAGTGTAGACATATGGATAGTGTAGGGCAATGGCAGTGGTAGTATTCGTGTCTACACGGAAATATGAATGAGAAGCAGCTGAGAGCGAGAGCGCCGAGGCAACCAATCTATATGCTCGGCCTTTGGATTCGTCCTAAGCGATCAATTAGTCTGAATTGTGGCCATAGCAAAGGCTTGCATGGCTGAGAAAATGCACAACTTACCACATCCTCTTTCAATCTTTCAGCAATCAAATCCCGATCTATCTCTGCGGCATCGAATCCAACCTCATCTACTTCTTCCCTGACATTGTGCAAATATTGCTCTGCCAATCTCAATCGTCGCTCGGCCGCAGTCTCGTCCCCCTCTGACCCAGAGAGCGATTCGTCCTCAGAACCAGCCGATACCTCTGACCTCTCATCTCCTTCAGAATCACTCCCTGATATTGATTCGTCTCTTTCCGCTTGTCTCCGGGACTTATCACCGCTCTGTGGTGCGCCTTTGCCAGTAACACCTCGCTTTTTAGCTACCGGAGCTCCCACTCGGTCCTCTCTCTTGCGCTTCCGCTGAGACGCAGGGAGTGTGAAAAACGAGGACATGGCTGTAGAGATACCGGATAATTCCAAACTCGATCCCAAGACGTACCTCCGAGACTTATCGTCCTGCCATCGTAGATCGCAAACTAGTTCCTCTCTCTATCAAGGCAAACGCTACCAAAATTTCGATGGAAGGTATTTTTTAGTTTTTTAGGTTTTTGGAGATCCATCCAGCCGGAAATTCGGAGAAATGTTAAGCCTAATGGCTGACTAAGCAGATAGGCCGCAAGCTTCCAACGCGGCTTTCGAAAGGGCAGCTTCATCAACAAAACAGCGGAAGGACAAGCAGCAGCATTTCAACTGAGGGAGGCGGGATAGCATATATTAGAGCCTTGAGTGCTTGTGGTTTATTTGCAGACGTTTAACTGTCATCATGTAAGCTTGCTGTGCTTGATCTGTCCTGGGAATCCGCTGATCTAACGTGGGTGTAGGGAGGTACTGCTAGGTATTTCGGGGAAAGACTTCACCCTTATTGCTGCATCGAAGGCCGCTATGAGGGGAGCTACGATTTTGAAAGCCGCAGATGACAAGACGAGAGAGCTGAACAAGCACACTCTCATGGCATTTTCAGGTGAAGCTGGTGACACAGGTACGGGCCGATGGTTTACTTATAAGATATGGGCAAAGCTCTAATGCTGTTAACTTCTTTAGTTCAATTCGCCGAATTCATACAAGCAAACACCCAGTTATACTCTATGCGCAACCAAACTGAGCTTGGCCCCTCTGCTGTTGCTCACTTCGTCCGTGGAGAGCTAGCCAGAAGTCTACGGTCTAGAAGTCCATACACAGTCAACCTACTTCTCGGTGGCGTGGACCCCATCACAGAGAAGCCTAGTCTGTACTGGCTCGACTATCTAGCGTCATTGGCACAGGTTCCATATGCCGCCCATGGTTATGCTCAGTAAGCCATGCTATAGATCTTATATACGGTTAGGATAGGGTCACTAACTGAATCCCTTCGCCTAGGTACTACTGTCTATCTATCCTCGATAAACATCACCATCCAGATATTTCATTTGAGCAAGGCTTGAAACTGCTTGAGATGTGCTCAGACGAGCTCAAGCGCCGATTACCCATTGACTTCAAAGGAGTATGCTCACACCTCTCTCAAAAGTTGCAAATAAATACTGATTTCATCCTTGCTAGGTTTTGGTAAAGGTTGTGACCAAAGATGGCATCAGGGATGTCGATTTTGAACAAGCGAATAACAGAATGGTTCGGAGTGCTTAGAGACACGGGTGGGCGTTCTGTCATTTTCATTCATGTCTGGGCCGGTTGTTGAATTGGCGTCTTATGATCCTCGTACTTGCTGTTGCTGTTATATTATCCCAGTTCAGTCAATATGCTAGTACTATGTTTCGAGGTTATTTCGATATAATGCATCCATCCCATGACTATATACGATTTACATCAATTTATACATTCTATGCGGCCAACCATGTACCTAACCGTAGGTTTTGGTTTGTATCTTATTGAGTATGACTTGAACACTTACCAGCTGAACTACACCTCACTTGATGGTAGTATATGGAGCTCAGAATAGGGAAAAAAATGCAGAGGTACCAAGAATATCAAGTTATATATTGAAAGTCTATGGTAAGCGGTGAGAGAGTCTATCTAAATGGGATACAGGTAGTGTGTATGTGCAAATTGAAATAACTGAAAAGAAACAAGTAGCAGAAGCGGCAACAATCCAGCTGTCGCAGGATAAGAGGGCAATTTCCGTCGTATGATGCCAATGGCCTTACAACTCGCTCAGGAGCGCCTGGACGAAGGTGTTGCAGTTGTTGTCTTCCACGCTGTAGACTGGGTGATCTTTCTCGTAGTCCTTGGCTATTGAGAGTATTGTGGTAAGTATTCATTCATCAAATGCACGGTCATTTTATATCTGTCAGATACACACTTACCCTTGTTGTTGATAGCATCGGCCTTCTTCTTGGTAGTCATCTTCACAAATTCGATGTCTCTTCTCTTGCTGGTGTCCCAGTTGGTCTTGCGGAATTTGATGTCCTTGTTCTCCTTCTTAATGGTGTCATAGACCTGGCCGTCAAAGTCACGCTTCGTCTTTCTGTGTTTCTTATGGCCGGACTCCTTGATGCTAACTTTGCCAACAATAAATCCGATATGGTAGAAGCCGAGTTTTTTCTGTAACTCCTGAAGCTCAGCAGGGGTCTCGTTGTCAATTTCGTCTCTCAGGGGCCATTTGGCCGTAAGCACATAGTACTTGTCGTCCTCCAGCTCTCCACCGTAAGCCTGAGCTAAAGCAGCGAAGGTGTCGCTGTCTTCGGTTTCTCTTTTGACAATTTCGGTCGAGAAAGGAGTAGACAGTGGGATTGTCTCACGAGCGGAGATGAGGCTAGAATCGACCTCATTCTTTGCGATTGGGGTCGCATTGACCGCAACAGAAGCAGCAGCAAGGAGGGTTGAGAAGATAGTAGAGAACTTCATGTTGTCTTATTGGGTGAAGGCGAATTGGTTAATGGTGATTAATTTTAATGTTGATTGATGGTGATGGTGATGGTAAGTTGAGCTGAATGAGGGTATATGATACAGCTCTTGAGCCAACTTATATACCTTTTGAATGGCAGCTCTGGATTCCAGATATCTTCTTTCAGGATACCTGATGGCAGACTGATCATTACAACAATTCGTCTCACATTTGCATCCTACAAATATGGGGTAGACGGAGACGGAACAATAACGCAGAAGGGTATCTAGGAGCACGCGAGAGATTGCCATTGCTGATCCATAGCTATCGTCATAGAGCACATAGTAGCTAGATGGCAGCGGTGAAATATGCCGCGTTGGGCATCGGGAATTTCATCTCTGGAAGTTAGAACAGCCAACCGAAATAGGGGCGGCGGAAACGGAGGAATAACTACAAGGCTATACCTTGGTGAACTATAACAAAATAGAGGAGGTTAAGAGAACGGAACATTACTAAATGCGAAACGTAGTGAAAGGATGTTATCACAGCCCAGCTGAACAAGGCTGCTGCTGATCTTTACGGAGGATTCGTAACCTGGCTTCGTCGCTTCTTTGTTTTAATAGTGAATTATCCAGGCCATCAACTTAACTAGGTAGCCAGAACTCATCTTCTATCCCCGGTACCCCAAGTTATTCTTATCGTTAGCAGAGATGTGGCCCAAGAGCGATGTTGAACAGCTGGACAAATGGATCTCAGGGGGGTACATGACCCCTGCGCGCATTTTGAACAGACTTACCGAAAGCCACAAATATTGTGGCCTGAGAGAGAGCGAGTATATCGGGCTCAAGGACTTTTTCGATCGTCAGGGCACAGAAGAAGATGGGATCGCATACGTCGACAGAGATGCATTTGTTTCATTCCTTAAGGGCTCTAGCCCTGTTCCCTCTCTATTCGACGAAGCCGGTGATATACTGTATTCTAGTCTGCTGTACCTCTCCAGATACCCCTTTGAGCTGGACACCTCTCGGAAGATGACCCTCGAACAACTTGCGAGAGCACTTATCTGGGCTCTGATAGATGCTCCTTTTGATAAACTACGAGCCAGAACTCTCTATGACGAAAGCAATTTCTGCCGTGGGAGGACATGGGCAGATCATAGAAGGGCTATTTTCCAGAGTCTTGCAACCTCTCGTGACGGCTCTAAGTTACCATATAACAGAGAGGAGTGGGCAGAAAAAGCCAGAGATAGAGCATATCAATTCGACAAATTTGACCAATACCGGCTAGAGTTCGCTGCTGTGAACTGTGATGAAGATGGCGATGAGATGTACCATGATGTCCTGGATATCCTTTTCTCCTCGCAGATTGAAATCCACCCGGGCTTTGCACCTGTTGCTCGAGATAGTTTCCGTCCATTAGCAAAGAAGCTACATGGGGATAACACTCATCTTCACGATCTCACGATTCCGCAAAAGAGTTTCCATGCTTTCATCAAACTGCTCCTCGTGTATCAGTTCGGCTGCAATGATCGGATGAAAGGGGACGCCATGTCGGATTTGGATCGTGTTTCCAGCTGCGTTACAAACGCTTTTGCCCGTAATTCAAATATTGGAATCACCTGGCCGATGTTCGATGATGCCTATAAGGTTACGGTAGGAGTCCTCTCACTGGTTATTCTTCATCGTTTTATCTTTCTTCAATTTGCACCCTTTTGAACGACGCAAGGAAAATGCTGAATTTACGTTAGCCCTGGCTCCTGGATGGGTACTACCGCATCCTAAGCATCCTTTTTGGTATACCTAAGGAGGGAGAACTACCCGGTTTCAATGTGGAGAATATCTCTACCGACCTACCCAGTCCAACAAATATTCTGACATTTCCCGTCATGGCACAGCTTGGTATAATGTTTTCCAGGTCATCATACAGTTTCTATAATCTGCATCTCCATCGACATTATAATCCACGTCTCAGTGAGATCAGAATATCAACTGTTGCTACAGACATCAGTGCGACGCCAGGAAGTGCCTTCTTTCTGGTCTCCGGCAAAAACAGAGATACAGGCGATGTTTGCATGTTTGGGGCATACATTGCTGTTCCATCCAAAGATGGTGGCGAAATCCAGTCGACGGAGGAAGAAAACGTAGTAAATTGGCAAGACTCCTGTTTATTCGAGCTGAGCCCTGTGCACGATATCTACCCCGGCAAAGTCGGGTCACCTGGTTGGACAAGCACGGAAGACAGTCTGTGTTTTGGCAATAGGGCAAATGGTGTGGCTTTTGATCTAGAGAATGACCTTCGCAATGCAACTATCTCCCATACGACGGACGGAAAGCAAAGACTCGTCTATAATCCGTCTTCATGGAGAGGCAATTGGCAGGTGAAATTTGATATTGAAGAGGTTGAACTCTGGGTTGACGAGGAATAGATGTAACTTGTTAGACGGTTCAATGGATAGCATTTGTATAGCCCATATTTGAAGGCATGCGACTTGATTCTTTGATCATTGATTCACTAGGTGAATGAGCGGGCCAAAAGACCTGACATGTGAACGGATGTAAGTTATATGTCAGCTGGATAATTCTTTCAATGTTTGTCTCTCTCGGCAAAATTTAGAAAGGGTGGCATTCAAGAACAAATACTGCGGTTTTCCTAACAGTTAACTAGGCAGCTGGTCGGTTGTGAGGTTGGATCAAGTCCTCAGCCCAGGTTGTTCTTTTATGAGCTTTTTGGCATCGGGTTTGGTTTGACCTATCAAATTCAAGGTTTGGAGCTTAGTCATCTCGTCTTAGCACATATAGTTATGCTTTCAAAGCTTCAACTGCAAAGAAACAAAAGAGCCAAAAGGCGAACCAAGGGAATGACAATTGCTATATCTTTGAACAGCACCCACGCATTTGCTTCATGATGACGAAGAGGCCGGCTGAAGATCGACTTGATGAGCCTGTTCAGATAGACTCGCCTGCTTCAAAGCGACCCAAGATCTATTCTACGGAAGAACCAACAGACGCGACCACACATACACGAAGTCTCACAGATCGTACGGAACAGAGATGGAATGGCAATGGGCATAATTTGAATGAAGAGACAGCTACAGATGAAGGCGGGAAGAAAGAAACTAGAGATGCATCTGCAGAGGACTCGGACTTGGAAGAGTATGATAGTCGCCATCCAACCGTTAGGCAAAACGCCCCCCTGGAAGGATACGACGACTTATACTTGGATACAATACAAAGAGCCGCCCTCGACTTTGATTTTGAAAAGCTATGCTCGGTTTCTTTATCGAATATTAATGTCTATGCGTGCTTAGTATGCGGCAAATACTACCAAGGGCGCGGTCCGAAATCGCACGCCTACTTCCATGCCCTCGAGGTTGAACACCATGTCTTTATTAACATGGAGACGAAGAAAGTTTACGTGTTGCCAGAAGGATATGAGGTGAAGAACAAGAGCTTGGATGATATCAAATACGTGGTTGATCCTCACTTCTCCAAGGAGGAAGTAGCAAAGCTGGATAAGACGGTTATAGATGCATTTGATCTGTCGGGCAAACGTTATAGGCCAGGTGAGCAATTCAACATCAAAGCTGGTGTAATGATACCGACGCTAACATCTTGGCTTGCCAGGGTTTGTTGGAATGAATAATATCAAGTCCAATGACTATCTAAATGTCATAGTTCAGTTGCTTGCGCATGTCCGCCCCATTAGGAACTTCTTTCTACTGCATGACTTCCCAGCTCTGAGCACTCCCCAGCTTCCTCTGAGATTTGGAGTACTGGTCCGCAAATTATGGAACCCCCGAGCTTTCAAGGCACACGTCTCGCCGCACGAGCTACTCCAAGAGGTTGCAATACGATCTTCTAAACGATTTACCTTAACGAAGCAGTCAGATCCCATCGAGTTTCTCTCATGGTTTTTGAACAATCTCCATCTGACTTTGGGGGGCTCCAAAAAACCGTCCTCAAAGCCAACTAGTGTGATTCAATCGGCATTCCATGGCAAACTTCGCATTGAAAGCCAGGCCATCACAGCTAGGTCCGACAGCGCGAATGCCCGTCTTGTCTTCTCGGAATCAAGCACAACCACATCTCAGGTCAACCCCTTTCTAATGCTTACGTTGGATCTTCCTCCCACTCCCCTATTTCAATCCTCAAACAAGGATTCTATTATACCCCAGGTCGCTCTTACCACGCTTCTAAACAAATATAATGGTATAACTGCGTCAGAGAAACTTGCCCACCGTGTACGGCATCGGCTACTACACCCTCTGCCGCCTTACCTTCTTTTCCACATCAAACGATTCAGTAAAAACAAGTTTGTCGCTGAGCGAAATCCAACTATAGTTACCTTCCCATCGCCTCATGGACTTGACATGTCGCCATATGTTGAACCCGACCCGTCAGTATGGCCTCCAGGTGAACCTATTATTTATGATCTGGTAGCAAATGTTATTCTTGATGCTGCAGTGAACGTCCCAGGTGGGCCAGAAAATGCTGCAAACAGCGCTGAGGCGGCCAAGGATTTGTCCGAAACTGGGCCATCCGCAGCTAGTACAGCCACATCAGGTGCAGCCACAGGAAATCATAAGGTGTCATGGCTTATTCAACTACATGATAAGGCCATAGCTACGGAGAATGCCCAACAGCAGCAGCAGAAGGGACCGGAGTGGCTAGAAGCCCAGGATCTTTGGGTGAAACGTACAGAAAGTGAGACACTATTTACGCGGGAAGGATATTTAATGGTTTGGGAAAGGAGGAAGACAAAACCCTCCGGAAGTAAGTGAGAGCAATTTCAATAAGCCTCAATTTCCTTCTTATTGTAACTTAATCTTCTACTTGACACGAACGCAATGTAGGATAAAAAAACCAATGACTCTGAGCAATAACCATTTGTTATATCATAGTTAATTCTACAGTTGGCCCCATTGAAACTTAATTTTTCCAAGAGTGACAGCAGCACTGGCCCCTAATCCCCAGATTCCTGCACTAATAACCGTCTCAAACCCCACTATTAATGCCATCTTTCCAACGTAGGATAGCATATCTAGCGCATTCCCACCCCCCATCCACGCACCCAGTGGTCGTACATTAGACTGGAGCCCAAGCAATGATGCTGTGGCACCAAGTGGGAGAATTATTGCCGAAGACTGAGTAGAAAAGTATGTAAAAGCAAGGCTTCGAAGATAAAGAGATTCAAAGGGGTAAAATAACACTGAGGTTATGATGGAAGATAAATGGGAGGAAAACGCATCCGCGGGGTGCGAAGAGAGAATGGTAACATGATGGTCCCATTCTTCAGCAGCATGTAGTCCAGGGCGATCGAGAAGAGGCTGTCTTTGCGGACCAGTACCATTGGCCATCTGCTCACTGGAACTGCTACTTATATTATCCTGTGGGGGATTCGGTGTAGTGTGATTCATCCCGGGAGTTTGCCACAATGCATCTAGTTCATCCTCGGGAGTGTGCGCTGTAGGATCTATGCCATTTTGTACTGGCTCATTAGGAATAGAATGGCCTCTTTCTCGAGTGGAGGCAGGGACGTTACCGGGGTGCTGACTTGAGTCAGAGAGCAATGCATCCAATAACTCAGATGCCGCGCGATCAATGGCACTTGTTTGTGACTCAGTTCTGTGAACAACGCCATTTGGAAGCGAAACACTTGCATTAAGGCCTTGGCTTTCGACTTCGGTGTCTGTATGACTCTGCAGGAGTTCTAGATGCATTGTAATCACATCAGAATTCTGGTGGATAAGCGAAGCCCTAACACGGGGGGACGAGGGTGGAGATGATTCTGGAGATGGAGACGGAGAGAACAGAGTATTCGTCCGGGAAGCTGGAACATGAGTGGTAACCGCTGTAGAATCCACGGCATGAAGTGGTATATCATGCTGACTAGGAATTGACAGGGCAGTTACGTTGTCAGTGGAGGGTAAGGAAGTTCGTATATCCGAAAAATATCCTTCTGGCAGTTGTATTGGTGATTGAGCAAATCGGTTCTCATCGTTCTCTAGAATTTGGCCAATCATATTGACATTATTTGTGTGTGAAGCCTGAGACTCTTGACCCGCTCCAGCTGTGGGCAAATCGGTATTATTTTCCGGGTTTAGTGTTCCGGACCTTAAATCCTGTTGCAACTGCCCAACTCGTCTTTGAACGGATTCGTATCTCTGTAGCCAAGCAGCTTCTCTGGGGGCTGGCTTTGGTTTCGCAGTTGGATGAAAGCCCACAGAGCGTAGTAACCAATTTTTAAACGTAACAAGCTCATACTTTATCTCCTGGGCTAAAGTGAAATGGCTTCTTTTAATTTCTTCTTCAGATCTCTTACCAAGTGACGGAGCTGTCCATTCGATAAGCTCGTTCTCTACGGCAACTCTTAGAGAAAGCTTATCAGGACGATCGGGTTTGGGGAGGCGGCGTCGAAGGATCCTGTAGACTCTCGCCTCAACCACAGGGCGAACGTTGATATATAAGTTTAATAGAATGAAGGGTGAAGTAGCCAGAGAGATACAATAGAGACCAATCGTGTGAGCTGATAATTTTGAGGGAAGGGGTGGTAGTTGTATCAGAGAATTTGCGGTAAATGGAATAAAGGAGTATAATGATGGGATTGAGAATGGAGGTAAAAGTTGAAGCGACTGTAGAAGGGAAAACATGTACCCTTGTCCAAGTACAAGGATAACCGCAGAGTTGGCACTAGATAACGGTTAGCAGTCATATAAATTAAGAATGGGGCACAGAGACCATGTACCCAAAGGATAATACGGTTATTAGGCCATGGATAAACTTTTTATACCACTTTGCATCAATAAGGGAGGAAAGGGTTGAATGAAGAGAGTCCAAAGCCGACTCCAAGAAGTGTGATCGGCAAACAGATAGTAAAAAAGATACGGTCCAAACGGGAAGCCCTGCGAAATAAAAGCCCGCAAAGCCAATTCGTTGACGTTCTTCGGATACTATACCTGTTAAAGAGCTAATATTGTAACTTTTGAAGGTCTAAAAAAAGATGTTAGAAGCTGAAAAGGCAAGGGTATGGGTGGGATATGGATATTCACCTGAATTCGACAGGCCAAAGATTTCGTCCACCAAGAGGCTCCAAACATGCTAAGCTGATCGATAGCCGCCAGGGCCAATCCAAAGTCATTTTCCTCCGCAAGTAAAGCAATCTTTTCTTGTTCTCTCATACTAGCCGTGTTTAATTCTTCACCGCTGACAACGATACCCATGGTAGATAGAACATCATTCTTTGCCTTTCTAAGCTGCCTAGCCTCAGCCTTCGAGCGGCGATTGATAGGATGGCCACGAGCGTCATATTCTTGGACATATCCATCAGCATTCGAGTTCGCTAGGTGTCGGTTTGGTTGTGGTATAGCCGACCCATTTACAATGAGCTCTGGTGCCTCGTAAGGGGACCGGCCCTAATAATTTATCAGTATATTGATGGTTCATACTGTATAAGAACACAAGCTTCATATATAAATTGAGAATTCAATCGACGGTGTAGCTTTTTATTGGCACAACATACCAAAGCAAGTGAGTTCAAATATGGACGTCTCCCCATATTAGTCAGTTAGTTGTGAAGAGCAGTTACAGAGAGAAGACATTCCGCAGTATCACTTATGATCTTATTCAAGGAGTATATTCCAGGGGTATAATTCACTGGTCAACCAAAATGATCCACAGAAATGAAGTTCTTCTGGACTGTGGATGTTATTATTCAAGGAAGCTGACGTTATGAACAACTGGCGCTTATCGCGGTTAGTTTAGCAGACCCACTTTTCCTGCCCTGATAATAAAAATTTAAGCGTGTGGCAGCTTTTTATTTTTTGGCGGCTTCATATTGAACAAAGTATCTTATTTTTGCAAGGATTTGATGCTCGCTTGATATGGTATATTAATATTTGGACTGATGGCGTCTTACCCCATCAATCACTGATTTTATTTTTCCTTTCTTTGCGCAATAATCCTTCGGTATCAAGCCATGTCTAAAGTCGCTGTCAAGACCACTTTTGAGGTGCACAAGACCATAGAGCCTATCTACACTGGCGGGAGCGTCTCACTTGATGCTAGTGGTAGGTTTCTGGCGACATGTGTGGGCGAAGATGCCTTGGTCATTAATTTAGAAACTGGAGAGAGGCTGGCGCAAATTGAAGGCGTAAGTTGATTTACGGATTCTTCCATGCGAGTTAGAACTAATATCTTTATTAAGGATGGGGAACTGATTACCAGTATATCGAGTATGTACGCTCTTGAATGCTACATTTTCCTACGGGCTGAGCTAACTTTCTCTTAGTATCCCCCGATGGATCTCACCTTGCGCTTTGCTCAAGATCTCTCTCAATGCGAATATTCTCTCTTAAGCCTTCTGATGACTCGAATAGCGCCGTTGAAGTAGAACTTCTGCGGTCCCTCAAACCTCATACAACGCCCGTTGTGACGACTGCGATTGACCCTACTAGTTCTCTTCTTGCAACTGGCAGTGCGGATGGCTCCATAAAAGTTTGGGATCTAAGAAGAGGGTACGCAACACACACATTTCATGGCCATGGGGGTGTTATTTCGGCTATGTGCTTCTTTGAGATTGCTCTAGAAAGGCTCAATGAGAAACAAATGCCCAAATTTAAGAATATTCAAAGCAACGATGATGACCAAACCAATTCTATGACCTCCGGCTTTCGCTTAGCATCCGGGAGTGAAGACGGCAAAATCAGAATATGGGACCTTGGCAAGCGTAAATCGGCCGCATCCCTGGATTCACATGTATCAGTCGTGCGCAGTCTATCCTTCTCGAGATCAGAAAATACCCTTCTATCTGCAAGTCGGGATAAAACGGTGATCATATGGGATGCGACGACATGGGATTGCAAACGGATCATGCCTGTCCTTGAGAGCGTTGAAGCGGCTGGGTTCTTATCGGACGGCCCATTATGCTATATCGGTGGCGAGAACGGCAAGTTGAGAGTATGGGACTCTAGTAGGGGAAGTGAAGTCACAGAAGACCAGCCCATAGGAAGTGAACAAGAAGCAATTGTCACAATCGAATATTCTGATAATCTACCGTTCTTGTTGACTGTTCATGTTGACCAATCTTTGAAGATTCATTCTCTCGGGCCATTGTCTTCCTTCGCACACGGAGGTAGAATCGAGCCGCTGCCGGTCTCACGACAGGTTTCTGGTAACGATGATGAGACCATTGATATGGCCTGCATTGGTCGAGACAGGTCCTTACTTGCATTGGCCACCAACTCAGAGTATATAAGAATTGTTCACACCAAGTCTATGAATGAGGCTGAAGGACCTGGAAGTCACTTTGGAGCCGATGTCGCTCGGCTTGAGGGTCACGAGGAAATCATAATATGCCTTGATGTCGACTGGTCTGGAAATTGGCTCGTGACTGGAGCCAAAGACAACAGTGCCAGGTTATGGAGAATCGACCCGGTCTCCTCATCTTTTACCTGCTTTGCAACTTTCACTGGCCATACTGAATCAATAGGGGCCATTGCGTTCCCGCGGTCAGCCCCAGCTGAGGGTACACCTGCCTTTGAAGATCCCCTCAACCATCCACCTCCCTTCTTCCTTACTGGTTCCCAAGATCGAACTATCAAACGATGGAATACCTCCAAACTCAATGTCACAGGGTCAAAACCGCACACCCCAAAGGCACTCTATACTCGAAAAGCTCACGAAAAAGATATAAATGCACTTGACGTGAACCATTCATCCACTTTATTTGCATCTGCTTCACAAGATCGCACTGCCAAGATATGGTCTGTCGAGGATGGCGCGGTGGCTGGTGTTCTTCGTGGTCATAAGAGGGGCGTATGGTCAATTCGATTTGCTCCCAAGGACACACCGATTTCTACCACCGTCCCTGGTTCAATTAGCAGAGGGATAGTTGCCACTGGCTCTGGCGACAAGACTATCAAATTGTGGAGTCTTTCGGATTATAGCTGTCTTTTGACATTCGAGGGCCACAATAATAGCGTACTGAAAGTGCTATGGCTCCCGCCGCCCCATATCTCTCAATCTGATGAGGATATATCATCTCGAGGGGCTGCACAAACTAACCCTCTAGTTGCCTCTGCCGGCGCTGATGGGTTAGTGAAAATATGGTCCCCATTCACGGGTGAGGTAGAAACGACCCTAGATAACCACACCGACCGCGTCTGGGCTTTGGCAACTCCATACACATTTTCATCCACGACACATAGGCAAGGAAACACGACAGAAAGCAACTACGATTTTTCCTTGGTCTCTGGTGCTGCAGATTCTGCGGTGACTTTCTGGAAAGACACGACCTCAAGCACCCTGTCTGCTGCAGTCACAGCGAGCTCGGAACGGATTGAGCAGGACCAGCAACTTCAAAACTACATTCACACTGGCGCTTACCGTGAGGCCATTACCCTTGCTCTTCGTCTAAACCATCCGGGTCGGTTACTGTCCCTACTTACCATCTCCATTGATACGAATGAGGATACCGCCGAAAGAGATCCTGATAGCTTGACTGGAAACGCCGACATCGATGCAGTTCTTAAGACACTAGACGATGAACTCTTATACATTCTTCTAATCCGCCTGCGTGACTGGAATACAAATGCTCGAACTGCGCGAGTGTCACAGCGTATTCTATACGCACTCTTCAGGTCATACCCATCTTCCACTTTTATTGAGCTTGCTGATCGAAAAAATGTTCTTCCAAATGATGGCAAATCAGGAAAATCAGCTGCGATGAAAGATATTTTGGAAGCATTAGCTGCATATACTGAAAGACACTATCGGAGAATCGAGGAGCTAGTTGATGAAAGCTACCTCGTGGAATGGGTTCTTGGTGAGATGGACGGAGGAGTGGGAAGTGCAGCACCAGCACTTAATGGTACGAATGGAGAGGATATAATTATGGTCTAATGCGAAACAGATACCGTTATCAGTTTCCACGGGAGTAAGTGGAATAAAAAGTGCATTTTTATGGAATTTTGCAAGGAGTTGAATGTGTAACCGTCGGAGTTTTGACTTGATATCTAGCATATTTCCCATAGTCGTTCAACATTAGGCCATAATCCAAGTTTGCCGGCTTGCTGTCTATAGATACATATACTACAAAACTCAACAACGATGACCCTGTAGTAGTATAGAGGATCCTATTATCTTCTGTCATAGTCCCTCCTTCTGTCCCGGTCCCTGTCTCTGTCTCGACGTCTATCTCTATTGTGGGTTCTTTCTCTCTCCCTGCCGTAATCATGACCTCTACGCTGGTCGTCTCTTTTATCCCGGTTGCGCCCTGATCCACGGTCCCTATCTCTGTCCCTATCTCTGTCCCTATCTCGATCCCTATCTCGATCTCGACGCTGACGGTTTTCACTATCCTCTTCCGTGATGATCTCACCTGTTTTCTTACTTTTCAGAATAACAGGTGTATACAATCCTTCACCTTCATTCTTTGCTTTTCTCATTGCTGCCTTCCCCCAAGCTCCAAGTTCAACTTCAGCATCTCCTTTCCCACCAAGATCTTTTGCACCTATTCCAAGGTATCCAGGTCTTCTCTCAGGGACACGGGCTGTTACCGGGTTGTTTCCGTAGTTTCCTCTACCAACAGGCTGGCCCTCTTTCCATCCCATGCCCCGTAACAATGCAGCACCAAACTCTTCCACTGGCACTGCATCATAGGCGCTTAAGCTTGCCGGGGCAGGGCGTGACTCTATATCTCGACGAAAGGATTTGGTTTCATCGTAAGCTGAAGAGTTATTTTCGTTAGGACGGGCTGTTATAACCAGATCTGACGGTTTAAATTCTGCTGATTCCCCTTTGCTCTCACGGATGATAGCCTGCAAAGCAACCTCGTCCTGCGATAGTAACTTCGTTCTCGGTTCTTCCTTGGTCACCGAGACGCCCGCACCTTCATGGTCCCCACTTCCATTCCTTTCCACATCCCCTGCCACTGTATGTGTTGTAACTGCCGCTGCGCTAGGCTCTGCATAGCTCAACCCAACTTTTACCTCCGGGGCATCAACCTCCATCGTGGACTCCGCGGCCCCATTTGCCTCCCTTTTCCTCTGAGCTTGGACTTCAGCGGGTAACAAACTTCGTCGCATCCCCTGTGTCCGGGCATGTAGCTTATCTCTCCATTTATTCCGTGATTCAATCTTGATAGTCAACGGTTCCTTTTCCCTCTTCACCCGCTTATTGCTGATTATTGCACCGCCGGCTTGGTGATCGAACCCTGTGACTTCTTCAGGCACTGGCTCTCCTTCATCCTCACTGGCTGAATCGTGATCGTTGAATCTTCGAGTTCTGCTCGAGAGCTCTCTTGTTCCGAATGGAGCTGCTGGTTTGCTTTGCGAGGACGGCGTGGGCGTTGAACGGCGAGAAGAGTCAGCTGAGAGCGCGATGGAAAACGGCTTCTGTTTGGAAGCTCCTTCCGAGCTTTCGGGTTGCATCATAGATCTTTGGGACAGGGTATAAGATCGGATTGTGCTCTCCTATAATTAACCCTTGATACTGAGTCGAAAATATTGAAGAATTTAAATACTAACCAACAGTTTGTAGTTGAGGCTCGTTGGCTAG